GTGTTCTACAGGTATGTCGTGAGTTCAATCCCCGCGGCGCCCTACCTTTTCCAACATGGTAGCACTTGTTACGGTCGAAGGGTCGACTGTGGCACTAGTCAGGTGAAGGTTGCTGGAATGTGGACCGTAGTGATGGTTGTGTGGTTCGTGTCATAACACGAGGTGTCTGTGAACGGAATGTGTCTCCAGGGGGAGACACGGGTGGCCTTAAACCCAAGGAGGTCATTGCAGCAAAGGCGTTGGAGTCGGACCAACAAGCTGCAGGAAAGGTCGCAATCAGGAGGTCCTGACACTCTCGATTGAGGGGGGGGTGTTGGAATATGCAATCAGACAGTGTCAAGTCCCAGCCCGAAGAGACGACGACCGGGGCGCCTGTATGGTGTAACGGTCTAACGAGCTGTGTTCTACAGGTATGTCGTGAGTTCAATCCCCGCGGCGCCTTACCTTTTCCAACATGGTAGCACTTGTTACGGTCGAAGGGTCGACTGTGGCACTAGTCAGGTGAAGGTTGCTGGAATGTGGACCGTAGTGATGGTTGTGTGGTTCGTGTCATAACACGAGGTGTCTGTGAACGGAATGTGTCTCCCCCTGGAGACACGGGTGGCCTTAAACCCAGGGAGGTCATTGCAGCAAAGGCGTTGGAGTCGGACCAACAAGCTGCAGGAAAGGTCGCAATCAGGAGGTCCTGACACTCTCGATTGAGGGGGGGGTGTTGGAATATGCAATCAGACAGTGTCAAGTCCCAGCCCGAAGAGACGACGACCGGGGCGCCTGTATGGTGTAACGGTCTAACGAGCTGTGTTCTACAGGTATGTCGTGAGTTCAATCCCCGCGGCGCCCTACCTTTTCCAACATGGTAGCACTTGTTACGGTCGAAGGGTCGACTGTGGCACTAGTCAGGTGAAGGTTGCTGGAATGTGGACCGTAGTGATGGTTGTGTGGTTCGTGTCATAACACGAGGTGTCTGTGAACGGAATGTGTCTCCAGGGGGAGACACGGGTGGCCTTAAACCCAGGGAGGTCATTGCAGCAAAGGCGTTGGAGTCGGACCAACAAGCTGCAGGAAAGGTCGCAATCAGGAGGTCCTGACACTCTCGATTGAGGGGGGGTGTTGGAATATGCAATCAGACAGTGTCAAGTCCCAGCCCGAAGAGACGACGACCGGGGCGCCTGTATGGTGTAACGGTCTAACGAGCTGTGTTCTACAGGTATGTCGTGAGTTCAATCCCCGCGGCGCCCTACCTTTTCCAACATGGTAGCACTTGTTACGGTCGAAGGGTCGACTGTGGCACTAGTCAGGTGAAGGTTGCTGGAATGTGGACCGTAGTGATGGTTGTGTGGTTCGTGTCATAACACGAGGTGTCTGTGAACGGAATGTGTCTCCAGGGGGAGACACGGGTGGCCTTAAACCCAGGGAGGTCATTGCAGCAAAGGCGTTGGAGTCGGACCAACAAGCTGCAGGAAAGGTCGCAATCAGGAGGTCCTGACACTCTCGATTGAGGGGGGGTGTTGGAATATGCAATCAGACAGTGTCAAGTCCCAGCCCGAAGAGACGACGACCGGGGCGCCTGTATGGTGTAACGGTCTAACGAGCTGTGTTCTACAGGTATGTCGTGAGTTCAATCCCCGCGGCGCCCTACCTTTTCCAACATGGTAGCACTTGTTACGGTCGAAGGGTCGACTGTGGCACTAGTCAGGTGAAGGTTGCTGGAATGTGGACCGTAGTGATGGTTGTGTGGTTCGTGTCATAACACGAGGTGTCTGTGAACGGAATGTGTCTCCAGGGGGAGACACGGGTGGCCTTAAACCCAGGGAGGTCATTGCAGCAAAGGCGTTGGAGTCGGACCAACAAGCTGCAGGAAAGGTCGCAATCAGGAGGTCCTGACACTCTCGATTGAGGGGGGGGGGTTGGAATATGCAATCAGACAGTGTCAAGTCCCAGCCCGAAGAGACGACGACCGGGGCGCCTGTATGGTGTAACGGTCTAACGAGCTGTGTTCTACAGGTATGTTGTGAGTTCAATCCCCGCGGCGCCTTACCTTTTCCAACATTTACTACATGGTCTTCTCCGTAGTCTTCTCCGTGGCCGCCTCCGCTGTCTACTCCACGGTGTCCTCCGAGGTCCCCTCCGAAGGCCCCCCCCCCCCCGAAGGCTCCTCCGAGGTCTCCTCTGTGGTTGCCATGACATGTTTCCCTGTGATTGCTTGAGTTGCTGCTTTGGGCTTAATGTAGCAGTGTCTGCAGCGTCTTCAGCTCTAGCGTGCCGTCGCCTGTGACCCTCTCGAGCTAATGCGGGTCACTGGTTTTGGGTTTTCTAGTTGCCCATTTCAAAGCGTTACCTACTGTCATCTGTTTACCCAAATGCCCTGGTTGTAACGAGGGCCCTCCTTAGCGACCCCCCCCCCCCGCAGGACCCACCCCGGCCTCTGTATTACTAACCTGACATTGAGAGTAGTGCAGCGAGCCGATGAGGCGAGCGGAACGGGTCCGCCACTGCCGTAGCGAAGCGTAGGCAGTCTGCTCCAATAGCGGAGCGAGCATAGCGAGCGAAGCGCCAACAAACTAAAAAATCACCGCCGCGTAGCGGCGGCGCTCGGCTAGTTTATATGAAACCAAAAATGGGTAAGGTTGTGACTCGTGAGGGGGTGCTGTTGACAGGAAAATAACGAAATACCCCTTTTAAAGTTGCCAAGAGTGCCCCCCCTCTTAACTAAGGAAATCCTGATGATGAAGGGAATAGATTGTACTTTACATCCGATTTTTGACCTGGTAGCGTGTGTTAGGACTACAGGACATGTATATAAGCGACTATAGTAGCAAATAGACCACCAGCATGGTGCATGGTGTCACTAGCATCGCTCATAACATTGACCTACTTCAGATTAGACCCTGAAATGGGCATGGCTTCCTACTACATGTACATGTATATTGGGTTTCCCTAAGCTATTCGAATCAGCGCACACAGCGCGAAGCAAGGTTCGCAACTACAATACTCAGTCTGGATAAGTTTGTGCGATTGCTGCAGTCTTAACACGAGAGGAGCACGGAAGACAGCTCTACGAATGTGGAAAAGATCAAAGCGGCCAACCACCTTAAGTTGTGCTCATTGAAGTCGTTGGCGCTATTTAGCTGCATGGCCGTCGGAGACAAAAGACATGAGACCGCCACAGAAGCCCAGATCCGCGCTGGGACGGACGTCGCCGAGCTGGAAGACGCTTTCCCACTGGAAAATTTTCAGACGAAGAGCCCTTTCCAGACGAGCAGTCGGATCAAAACGACGCCGACTACGATATAGATCCCGCCATACCCCAACATCCAATGACTCAGACTGAACTCGTTGGAGCGGTAGCTGAGGCCATCGCCGTTTTCATCGGAACCGTGTCGTGTATCAGCTCGACATCAACAAAAATTGCCGCGAGGAACCTCCTACTTCTCCTATCGATATAATATAGTACACGGATCACGCGTCTGCTAGCGGCTCAGTCTTAAGTTGAAGGCTCGATTCGGCGCCACGGCAACAACCGATATCTGAAACCAAACCTAACAACTGCTGCACTGCTTCAGCAAGAAGTCTGAATGTCGCCCCGGCTTGAAAGCCAACGAAACTCGGCGCGTGAAGTGACACTCGAGATTGTCTGAGAGTAGGCGGCCTCGTTTGGCAACTTTAAGCTGCTGGCCGAGGTTGTGTCGGTCTCGCTAGTATTGCGCCAGGAATCCACACAGTAGAGGGTGACTTCAGCACGCTGACGCGTACGATGGGTCCGCACTCAGCAACTACGCGATGGAAGGTGAGTTGCAATGTCGACAATACTTTAAGCTCATGCGTTTGGCGGACAAGATGTCCAGGTACCAAGCAGCTGCCTAGTGCGCGTTGCTCTTCAAACCAAGCACTCTAGCGTAGGCCACCACGTTTACATTCTTATACATTATTATGCATTCTTGTACCGCCCCGTTTTAGATTTCAATACACAGCGATACATTACTGATCGGGCCACCCCTTTGAAAATCCCCAGTGGGGATTCCCCACCCCCGTAGATCTATTAGATATTATCTAAAAGGGGGCATGATTTGCAAAATGTCCCCTCCGGACATGCCTGGTTGTGACTAGTGCTTTCCAAAACTTTGGCCAATCTGACCTCGAAAAGGTGGTCTTAAGAAGGAGGGGGTAGGGCTCAACCTAGGATTTGCTGTTGGCCTTGCATCGGATTACGAAAGTCCTACGTAGGAGCTCCGTCTTCACCTAAATGGCCAAGTTAAGCTGGCCATTTGGACCTTCGTAGGGCTAACGAGTCCTTCGTAGGACTGGATCAGGCCAGTGCGCCTGAAAGCATCTGTGGCAAGTGCATAGTTTGGCCACACTCGTACAGGCGGAGACTCAGGCAGCACCGCACCCAGGTCACCGTGCTCAGCGTGGAGCTACGTACATGTGCTACAGGTATAACGGTACTGAACGCGCTGACTTGCAGCCTACCTTTGCAAGTCATTCGCTCAGTTTACTTTCAGTTTTTGTTTATACCGGGTTTTACTGCCCTCGGTACTAACTTTTATGAGACCTTACGTAGGAGCAAAAGTCCTACGTAGGACCTCAAATCGGAGGGCGTTTTTGGACAATACCCGTTACTAACACAAAACTGAAGTTGAAGTGTTCGTTCATGCATGGCTACAGATGGTTGTGGGCTCAATAAGTTATATTTCGCGTCGTTAGGCTTCACAGCTGACGACACTATCGCTGGAGGAGGCCTCCAAAGCTACTCTCCAGCCGTCTTCTAGTGGTGAGCACGGCCTAATAGCCCGTTGCCGCCTTCGCCCCTTCGTCTGCTGCTGTTTGTACTCGCTGAGCTTGGAGAACACGGGCTTCTCCATCTGCAGCACCTTCCAGACGGAGCGCTTTTTGCGAAACTCGATCTTGCTCTTGCTCGGATCGGACACTGGCGAAAAGTTGCTGGGCTGCAGTGCTCGCTGCAGGGTTTTCAAGCTTAGATTGTCGGGAAGGATAGCGCCCCGCAAGAAGAAGTCGCGCACGATCGGGAAGATGGCGTCGGCGCAGGAGGTACACTTGGGCACCGCTGAGAACGTGTGCGACGCTAGTATCAGCACGAACTGGTGGAGTCCAACGCGGCGCTGGTTGACCACGTCGGGCGAGCGCGAGCACAGGAGGTGTCGTCGTGGGAACCAGTACCCGCGCAGCGTTTGGGCGAACCAAGCACACCCAAAGCACTGCGGACGGGCACCCCCGCCGCGGCGCAAGAAGAACGCGTGCAGTACCTTCCTCAGCTCGCGAAAATCCGAGTACCGGCGCTCCACGGTCCACTCCAAGTCCGTCCTGTCGAGTGTGCACTGCAGCACGTACTGCGTAGGGGTCCCCACGCGCGGACTGGGCTTCACGTTCAACAGCTTCGCCACGAGCTTTGGCCTGAGGCTGTCAGGTTGGCACGTGATGCTCGAGTGGAAGCAGTCGTCGGCGAGATACATGACTCCGCAGCTGCGAGATACGATAGCCTTATCGACGTGAGACCAGGCAAGTTGCGATGTAAGCCGTGGATCCGCCCCCCCCGCACTCCGCGAGAGCTGCTAATTGTGTGTACGCTGCTCGCTGTCACTGTTGCCATCATCTTCACTTTCTGATCCGAGTATCCTTGGCGCTTTGCTATTTATTCCGAGGCAAAACGTTCCATTTAGCGAGCGCCAAGCGATTGCGAACGCTGCGTCGTCGGGGCAGGTCCGCAGGACGTCAATGCCAACAATAGACTCGACGGCCCAACCGTCGAGCATCCATGGAAGCCACATAACGTTTCAGCACGCACGTGTCGGGCGTTTTCACTGCGACGGCTTCAGTACATGTTCAATCGAGAAGGGCAGCACGGCCTGCGTGCTGGGCATCTCCATCGCCGCCCAGCCTGATCCACCAGCCCGATCATCGGGGCCCGAAGCAGTACAGTGCTCCCATCGCGGAGGGCATCCTTGCCTTTTCGTATCGCAGCCCAATTTGATGCTGTATCATAGTGCTGATCCCGATACATTGTCGGTTTCCAGCAGCTGCTCGAATCATGCCTTTCGCTAGGCTTTCCCCGTTGACATCTGAATCCACCTCCGACTCTTTGGAAACGAACAAAAAATTTGCATCCGGTCTACACCAGTCTCGTGTCTTCCGCGCCCCGCCACAAGCGTCGACTCTTTCTAGGTCCTGCACGTGCCAATGCTATCCTCCCCCGTGGAATCGCCCAGCATGCGAGACACACGCAGCGCCGCTGAGCCCAGTCTGGACCCGGTGGACAAGCGCCGAAGCGGAAGCGACGCCAGCGCCATCGCAGAGGACGCAGCGCCAGCAGACAAGCAGGAGGACGCCTCGCACGTAGAGGCCGAGATCGAGCCGGAAGAGGCGAGCGACGAGACTGGAACGTCGAAGGAAAAGACGGCGGCTGACGAGCCAACCGAGCAGCCTGTGGAAGCCGTTGACGCCGCTGAGGTTGAGCTGGAGGAGAAGCCGACGACTGCCAAGACGCAGGACGAGCCGGAGCTCGAGACGCCGAGTGACGACTCGTGGAAGAACGAGGAGAAGGAAAAGCAAGAGCAGCAGCAGCAGAAGCGGACGCTACCCACGCGCCCTGCTACTGCCAGAAGTGCCGAGTCGGGCTCAGTCGTGCGCCGGCCGTTTGTCCCGTTGGCGTCCAAGAGCTGGCGCGTGCGAGCCATGGAGTCCAACACGCAGATCACTCGTCTTATGAAGGCGGCGTTGCTGCAGACGCTGCTGCACGCTATCCGCACTGGGTCGGTGGAAGGTGTGAAGGTCGCCATTGAGCGTGGAGTGCAGGTGCAGTACCTGGACAACCGCCAGCGCAACCTCGTCATGCTGGCCAGCAAGTGCGACACCGATGCTCGTCTGCACATTGCGATTATTCTGCTGGACGCCGGATGTGATATGAACCACAAGGACCAGCTAGGCTGGAGCTGTCTGCATTATGCTTGGTATGTGCTACGTAGATAGTTCTTGGATCGCTATGTTTGTGTACTAATTGTTGCGCCGTGTGCGATTTGACTTACGATCAGTGCTAGCGGAGCCGATGATGTGGCTGCGGAACTCATTCGACGTGGAGCTCGCGTCGAGTTCAACCCGTACGGATACGGCCCCGAAGACTTCAACATCCCCAAGGTGGCACGTGCGAAAAGCCTGCTGCAGCACACGGAGCAGCTGCAGCACGAGCAAAATGTTTGTGCAGCCTGGGCCTTCTTCCGTCGCCAGGCGGAGAAGACGGGCTACAGTGTCAAGTGCAAATCGGTATGCGGGCGGCAAATAGCTGTGATTGATTCATGCATCTGCAAAAGCACTTACAAATTTTTATATTTCTCTTCTGCTGTAGAACTGCGATCTTGGCAAGCCCCTCAAGATTACGTTCCAGGCCCCTCCTGGTCACAGTCCGCTTGACCGCATCCGCGTGGTCGACATGAACTCCGATGTGGCACTGTGGCTTCAAGTGTCCAAGACTTTCAGCATCCCTCCTGGCGATGTGGGCACAATTACGCTGGACGTAGAGACACTGGACCGACCATCACTGTATCGTATCGTTTACGAGAAATACGAGCCGACGCCAATTCAGCTGCCAACCTCGGTGGCTGAAAGCAACTTGTGCGTCAAGAACCTTGACACGGGAACCACTGTCTCGATGGGAAGTGTCAACAACTTGGTTCTGAAAGAACTTAAGAGCTCACGGTCGTCGAAGAAGTCCAAGAAACTGTCGAGCTCTGCCAGGTAAGCAGTGATGTGCGCAATAGCTTGGTGTATCAAAATTTGTTCTAACGAAACGGTATGATCTCGCTTACTAGGCCAGCACCGAAGTCGGATAAACCTTCAACGGTTGTTCGGAGAGGATCTACTACGTACGTATTATAAAATCGCTACGTGCGGGCGCTGGTGTGCTATTAGATCTGACGTTTTAATGTATGTTGCTTGTACAGCCGAGCTCGGGAGATCACTGAAAGCGTGTGTGAAGCCACTGTGGAGGAGGAATATGAAGGAGAAGAAGCTGAGTTTTCAGCTGATGAGACGATTACTACCCACGAAGTCGCCGAGCACCCAGCCGTCACGAGTATCACGGGTGTGTACAAGATTGTGGCAATGGGAGTCGTTAGTGTTTCGACACTGAGGACTGCCAAGGCTAACGAGTATGAGATTTCCATTAGTCGCAAGGGCCCTCTTGGACTTCAGCTGGTACGATTTTCGCGAATTGTGTTTTTGTTAGCACCAATTTAGTCGTCTCACTGATTCTACTTGTTCGTGCGTATAGGCGCCCAAGCTTGACGGCTCCAAGAGATCGCCGCGTCTCATTGTGCGACGTAGTCAGGGCCAAGCTGCAGCTGTGAACCCGGGCGATTGCCTTGTTGCGATTGGCAACGCGAACATCGAGCACGCGGGTCTGAAGCACACGCTGTGGGCGCTGAACGATGCGAAGCGCCCACTTGTGCTGCGCTTCCGACGTGGCAACGCCAAGGAAAAGAGGAGTCTATTCAAGGCAGGTCTGTCCAAGCTCACAGGACCTCGTAGACAGCCTGTCATCGCGGTGTAAACCTGTGGTAGGAACAGCTTTTTATTTTTTTATTTTTGATAGGATGAACATGAGGTCGAAAGCATGAACCTGAGAATCAATGAAGCGGTCAAGGTGAAGCTTACACAAAGTGAAACTTGTTCTGCTCATCTACTATCTGTCGCTAGTTTTACTTCTCAGCGGGACAGGAAGCACGAACTGGGAACAAGGCTACAGCATGGGGTGGCCTTTGTCCACGTGACAGTATTTGAACGTCCTGTTCTGAATGGTGCACCGTCGGCATAGTGCGCCGGGTTTGGTTGACACGTCGATCACGTGCAACGGGTGTGTCTATACCAACGGGAACATCATAACCATTCTGGCTGTTAGTCGCGTCCCTGTTTTCGCTATCGCACAGGAAAAAGCTCACCCTGAAGTGCTCAACCAGATCGTCGGGGTGGATTTCTGTGCGGGTATCCGTCTCAGGATCGTACACGATTGCAGGGTCTGCCGTCAACGTTTAATTAAACGGAACTGTTAGCTGCGATCCCGTCTCTCAAGAGCTCAGCCAAAATATATCATACTTACATTGCTTGCCGTCACCCCGCCATATATACCACGCTTGCGCCTCCCACCACGCTGGTTCCTGTGATCCAACATTCTGATACTGTACGCAGACAATTGAGCAATCCGCCGCCACCAAATTAGTCCCCGTGCTTGGATTCTGCTCGTGCAAGCATAATTGTAACCTACTGCGATTGCTAGCATCGAGCCTGGCCGTAAGGAGCTTGCCCACGTTTTGACGTGCTCCAAGAAGTCCTTTGGAGCTTTATCCGCCGCGTACTTCTTCGTCAACAGCCACTCGCCGTCTTTTCCGTTCCCGCGCCGCTGAAGCCATGGGTTATGACCATGAAATGTCCACGTGTTCGGCAGGATGATCCGATGCGGCTCGTTCGGGTCCACACAGATAGTGCCAAACGCCCAGTGCGGGAACTGCTGTCTCATCGCTCCTGTCTTGTAGCCTGTGTAGTAGACGAAGATCTTGTGCACACACGTCATTTGGTTGTGCATGAATTGTGACCACGACTCAGTCGCCTTGGGCTTCTCTTGCTTGAGCAGCTTGCCCTGCTCAGCTTCAGCCATAAATTCCCCCGTTGCCTGCTTGGCCATGACCTCCACGTCGTGCCGGAAAGCTTTGTTTGCCTGTCATTCAGCAGGCCACAGCACACTCGTCAGCAACACGACTATCTCGCAGTCTCCTTCCTTCAGCAGCACGCACCATTCCCAACCGACCGAGCGCAATAGGCGGCAGGAACGCAGCAATGTGCAGCTTGAGCTCGTAGTTGAGCTGCTGGATGTTGGTCACTTTCTGGCTCTTGCGCGTCTTGGGCCTCGCCGCAGCGACCACTGCAGCCTTGGTGTCCGCTCGGCGCTTCTTGGCGGCTGCCTTTCCGACCAGGTTCTTCTGAAAGTAGGCGCTCTCCACGCGCAGCATGCAGGAGCAGACTTCGCGGCCGTTGCATCGACGCGTGTGGCGCACGAGTTTGGCGTCAATGGGCGCGATCGGCGCCTTGCTCGGGCTCGCGGCGTCGGCCGCCTCCTGCTGCTGCTGCTGCTCCTGGTTCATCGTCGAGGCTTCTGGCGTCGCCTCGAGTGTCCGTACACCAACCAGCAGATGGGGCAGTGCGATTTGATTCGCCAAAAATACGCCGCAACTTACAAGGCGAGTGAAGTGAGAGGCTGACGATGCTGGGGCTACGGCTGCGGTGCTCGAGGCCTGTGCAGGCGAACGGGACGCGGCGCTGGCTCGCGGAGGCCGCCAAGCCGAAGGCCGTCAGTCGCGTCAGAGGCACCAGGGACTTGCTGGCTGACGACTCGCAGCAGCACCGCGAGGTCCTTGACGTGCTGCAGCGCACAGTCGAGCGCTATGGATTCCGCTCGGTGCGTGTCAATCGTCCGATCAGTGCGTGGTTTGGCGGACGCGTTCCTCTCTGACAATGTACACTACGTGCAGATCCAGACGCCGCTGCTGGAATACACGGATTTGTTCTCGCGCTCGCTGGGCGATGGCTCGGACATCGTCATGAAGGTGGGCTACAACTTGCTCGGTATTGCATTTGATGACGATGGATTGGGTATTAACACATTCATGTCATTTGCTACGTTTGCGATTGCAGGAGATGTACACGTTTAAGGACAACTCGGGCAAGAGTGTGACGCTGCGACCTGAAGGCACTGCCGGTGCGGGTTGGATGCACGGGAGTCCGTTGGTACTGCGTCGTTGCTGAAGGTTTTCGTGCGTGCGTATAATACGTTGCAGGTATTATGCGTGCACTTGTGAGCAACAACTTGCTGTTTTCGCTGCCGCAGAAAATCTCGTACTCGGGCAGCATGTTCCGGTGGGTTGTGCTTTGGGTATCTTTCCTGGTTGAAGTTGAGTTTATTATTGAACGCCGACTGGTAATGCTCGATTGGGTGCAGATATGAACGTCCCCAGCGCGGAAGGTACCGAGAGTTCCAGCAGTTCGGTATGTTCTGTAGCATATCTTTATGGTTATGACTTTGGTCTAATGTTTCCATTGTACGTTGGTTAGGCGTGGAATTTGTGGGTTCTTCGGGCCCATCGGTCGATACCGAGGTATGCTGGATAAACACATTTGCCAGGTTCCTTCATGATCATCTTACGCAGCTCGGGTGAACCTCGATACAGGTCATCGCAATGGCTGCTGATGCCTTGGAAAGTTTGGGCATTAAGGACAAGGTCGTACTGGAGATTAACTCTCTGGGTGACAACGAAAGGTGACAAGCAACTTAGCGCAATACATTTAGAGGGTATAATAATGTTTAACTGATGTCTTGTTATATCTGCAGCCGCTCAAGGTACCGTGCGGCGCTAGAAGCTTTCTTTTCCAAGTTTAAGGACGAACTATCCACGGATAGTATCAAGCGGTGAGTTAGTTAGACTTGGACGCTCTGTTGCGTGCTTACTAACGGAGTTCGTTTGAAATGGTTAGCCTCGAGCGAGGAAGTGTTCTCCGAATTTTGGACTCCAAGAGTGAGGCCGACCAAAAGATTATTATCGACGCTCCTCAGCTTAAGGATTTTCTTTCCGACGAATCCAGAACGGTAGGAGGTTATGTTTGCGGTTGCTGTTAATGCTATCCGGCTGACGTTTTATTTTCACAGCGATTTGATCAAGTTCTCGGTGGTCTGGATGCGTTGAGCATTGCCTTCCAGCACAATCCTCGCCTCGTGAGAGGGCTGGTGCGTTCTTGTGTCATTGGATCGAGTTCAGGCTAGTTAAAGGTACTGATTGGTCTTCGTTCACGGTGGCAGGATTACTACAGCAACACTGTTTTTGAGTTTGTTGAAAAGCCCGCATCTGCAGCTTCTAGCAGTGTGGAAGCAACAACAGGAGGGATTGCAGTGCTAGCTGGTGGCTGCTACGATGGTCTCGCAGAGTCGTTAGGAGGGCCTGCGACAGCTTGCGCGGGCTGGGCTGCTGGAGTTGATCGGCTTAACCTGCTTCGAGAGATGCCAATCGAGACTGCGATCTCAGTCGCGGTACGCAATCTACACATCGCCAAGCTGGAAAATTTGTTTTCGTTGTCTAAGGATACTTCTTGTTTCGATTAATGCTCCACAGGTTGTTCCGGTTCTTTCAGGCGATGATTCGAGTCGAGTGCTGCACGAAGCCATGCTAGTTGCTCAGGTAAACAGATCGACTGGACCACACGCTTTGCAAGGCGGTCTCCACTCATACCTTCTATGTCTCATTTGTGCAGACGCTTCGTCAGCGTGGCCTGACGGTTCACTTTTGCCATGGTCGCGGGAATATGAAGAAGCAGATGAAGGTAACGAATGCTGTGCTCTGTGTATGACAACAAGTGCATCTCGCTTCACGTAGACTAACGCCTCGTTGTTCATCTTTAATGCTGCAGGCTGCTGAACGCTACGGCAGTACCCATGCTGTGATCCTGGGAGGTGCGGAAATCGAGCAACAGAGTGTGAAGGTCAAGAATCTCGAGAAGCGAGAAGAGGCGGAAGTGTCGTTGGTTGAGCTGGGTAGCTTTGAGTTTCTCTGAGAACATCATAGGAAGGGCCGCATAGACATCAATAGAGCTTGACCACTTCTATGTGAAAAACCTCGATCCTATTGTCTATTTCGTGGAATTATTGTGAATAATAATCGCACAAAAACCGGGCGATGGCACGGTTTGAATACAAATATCAAGACTAGCGCGCTCGACATACATCGCCCAAGAGGTTATTCTCTTCGCGGGTCTGCGAAACGTTTGAAAATGCAAACCAGTTTGGTACACAAGGACACGATGGAGGAGCCCCCGGCCGAGGAGCTCCGCCAGGACGGGCAGCAACAGGAGCTGCACGAGGAACACGAGCATGAGCAGGAAGATAAACCCTTGGAGCTGGCCCGCCAGGAACCAGAGCCCGAGGAGATGGAGGTGTGGTGCTTGATCGTGGGGATGGTCGGGACGGCGTTTCCAGTGACTGTCAAGGGAACCGATCGCGTTTGGGAGCTACAGAAGACGATCAAGAACGAGGCCGTGGAGATCTTTGGAGACTTTAACGCCGCTCAGCTGCGGCTGTATCTGGCCAAGAATGACAGTGGCCAGTGGCTCTCTGCAGCCGAGGTGCAGGCTATTGAGAACGGCGACGCGCGGCCAGCCCGATCCTTGCTGGCGAGAGGCCATTTGGCGTCGATGAGTCAATTGGTTGGAATTTTGAAGGGCCGTGACGCAAACTCCGTCCACATTCTGGTCCCAGCTCCGTCGAAATCATCGGAGATAGAGGTTGAGCCTGATATCGCTGGCAAGAGGAAGCGGTCGGAGCAGTCATTTGGGGAGGTGGAGAAAATCGGGGTATCCGCTGAAGAGTGGAAGTTTCTGTTTGATATATTGAGACAGAAAAGACAAGCTGGGCCTGGGGCCCAGCTTGTCTTCTCTGGATTTGTTGCGACACAAACCCTGCACGAGTTCTGCAAGGGATTCGGTGGCTTTCCGTCGTCTTACTTCGTACGGCAGGAGGGACTTGTGCTTTGGGGGCTGGTCATGCGGATTCTGTCGAAAAGAGAGAAGCGGGTTGTGCTTGTGGGCTCGGCGGGTGTCGGCAAATCGTGCTTTGTTATGCTTGTAAGTCTTTATGTGGCGCTTGTCGAGAAGAAAAAAGTTTTGGTGGTACGACGTCTGCGGGGATTTTCAGAAGCGAGTGCAGTGGTCTACCTTGATGGTGCGAAGGGCTCGTGCATTCGAATGGCGAATCTGACGTCTGCAAAAATTGCTTCGCTTCCTGACAGGAAAGAATTTCAAGATGCTTTCGTGTTGATTGATGGCTATTCCAGAAAGGAAGCAGGCCATCTGTTTGGCTTGCTCCCGTTCCAACTCATTGCGTCTCCAATGGAAGACGATATTTGTTTTGACGACTCAGCTTGCGCTGTGGTACTACCAGGATGGCAACACAGTGATCTACTTCAATATGCTGAATCGAAACCGGACGACTGGAAAAGATCGACGGGATTTGGCCACGAACAACAGAAAACCGTGAAAGAACTTGTGGAGGCACAATACTTCTATAGTGGTGGAAGTCTCCGTAATTTTCTCAAGCATCGCGAAGATGTGAAAAACGGAATAGATAGCATCTGTGGCATAGTGGAAAATGCTCAATCGGTTGACTTGGAATCGCTGCATCAAGCTGGTTTGCAAGTGAGCGAGTCATATGACCGAGTTCGGCGGCACTACGTTCTGGACCCCAACGATGAAGACCACTATTGGCACGTGTGCCATTGGCTAACCCAGGTAGACTGCGGATATGCATTCAAACGGATTGGACGCTTTATGGACTGGGAAAATCTCATTGGGAACTATGAGTGTGCTCAAAAAGCCCGATCTGGATTTTGTGGCGCGGCATATGAACAATGCTTTCATGGTGCGCTCCACCAGGCAACGAAGTGGTATCCTGTTCAGATGGTGAACGTCGTGGTTAACTTTGACCCAACGTGCTCGAACCAAAGGTACGATCGAATCGAGCTGGGAGGCCAGTCTGTTCAATGTGAGGGTACATGCAGAACGGAGGATAAGTGCTATGCACACATGCCTAAGCTCGCCCCGGGAACATATTGGCATCCTGAGTGCGTTGAGTTCCCTTTTGTCGACGCAGTGGTTATTTGCGAGGCCACTCTGCGAGGGAGCAGTATGAAGGAGAAGATTGTGGCCTGCGTCAGCACCACTGTCGGCGATCGGAAGATATTCCAGCCAGAGCTCTGGCGGAAGTTGAAGGAGGCTATTGATGAAAATGATAGCATCCCCACGAGCGTTCCCCGAGTGTTTGTCATTGTGGGTCCTGACGCCAGTACCTGCAAGCGGTTCACCTTGGTTGATGCTCCCGCCCCAGACGAACATATGGTGTGCTGCTTCGACCCACCTAAGTTTCCGCGGAAGCCAGCACTGCCTTACTGAAGAATAAAGAGATATTGTAGTGAGTTGACTTGTCACCATAAAATGCAAACCGTATGTCCACAGGGCTTTGATTGTTTGTCAAAACTAGTGAGGGATCTGGCCCAATGCTACCTGATTGCCTATGACTGCATTATTCCGTGTCTCAACGACAGGCACACGAGTGTCAGCTCCAGCTCGATCGTTGTGTTCGCTGAGCGGGTACTTCGATAGGGTAGCGGCAAGAGCATGTAGTGTTGTGGACTGGAAGCAGCTTGCGGAGCTAGGGCCTTGTTGGCCAAGAGCCAACTCTATGCATTACCACGATTGCAGGAACTCTGTCCCAGGGTGAGCTCAGCGAGTTGCGATTGCAAGAGCCGAAGCGCTGGACATTGAGCAAGACAGTTATACAGCACGCACTAGACAATGCGTACATGTATTAACGCAGTGGACGTGTGTGAACGTTGTTTGCATGCACTGGAGTGGATCTCGATCGCTGCCGAGTCGCTTGAGACTCAAATTGCTGAGCTTCACAGCACTGCTGACAATGTCAGTCTGACGTTGCTGGTTCTGTCAACACTGCCAACAATTCGCGATGCACTGTGGTAAGATAATTGCAGCGTGCAGTTGAAGTTCTTCGTTGTATCGCTGTGTGGGCTTGTTGGTGTCACTGTGGAAAAGTTTCACGTAAGGTCTTCTGCCAGTTTCGTGCCGTCCTTCGAACTTGCGGACTTGCTGTGGCATAACTTTTCATTGAATTGCCCATTCTGAAATCTGATTGCACCCGCTAAATCTGCGCGATTGGGCTGAATTTATGTACTTCACGCTGGTCCGTGTAAATTTTGCAGAAATTCTTGTTATTGTTTTGAAAAGCTTGTTGATTTGGAGTGAGCTGCCAGTTTCCTGCCTCTTTTTGATAGCATTTTTGTATGCAATGCAAATCCTAGGAGGCTCATCACCGGAAATTGCATGTGACGCTGGAAAAATCTACCAATAGACTACGAGAGTTTAACAAGGAGAAGATGCTAATTGGCTAAAACAAGTAGGCACGGAACTGGTTGTAGGCACGCAACTGGCACCTTACATTGAGTCGATTCACAATCGAGCGGTGACACCACGTTAGTGCGATCGTTCATCAGCAACACGAATCTTTTGGTCACATATTTCGCCGACAAGCATACTTACGCCCATAGTTTCGATGAGTCAACAAACGCGACTACCGAGAAGTTACGGGGGGGGGGGGGGGGGGTCTGTCAAGACGCACTGTTAAACAGGCAGATAAGTGTACTTACGCGTCATTCACGACGTATGAACTTCAATCAGCACCGAGATATTGAGTCCAAGTTTTCAGCGGCCAAGCACCCCTCAAAATCTACCGCCGTGACAAAACAATCTCGCCGCCAGCACTGACCTTGAGTGTTAAGACTGACATGACGTCCTCTCTCCTCGCCCTTGCTGTTGCCATGTCTGCCACCGAAGTGTAGCCATGCCCGCCACCGCGCTCAATTCATTGAATTGCACCATACAAAGTCCAAGCCATTTCTGTTCATTGGTGTGTGCCACATAGCTCCGTGCACTGCGCCATTTCGCGGTTCGACAGCGTACGAGAACAGCGCGCCCTGCCAGTCCCTGCGGCTGCTCCACCGCTGGCGTCGTGGACCCCAGACTCGCTGCTGTTGCTTCGTCTGCGCGGCCACCTGCGAGGCCCATGGAGAGCGCCACCCCTGAGCCAGGTGCGTCCGCATGCATGCAGAGACTGCGAGGAATGGGTGGAGGAGGCCACAGAAGCCGCCTTCAAGGCCTTCTGCCTCTTCCTTCGTCACGATTACGCCCACGCTATTAACTATAAATGGGTTAAGTTGTACTGACGCCGCTCGTATTTTGCTCTTGACGTATCGCCAGCGCCCGCACCGCCCAGCGAGCAGGAGAAAGCCCCCGCCGCGTCTCCCGCCCCAACGGACACTCCGGAGCCGAAGGTTAGCGTTGCCGAGCCGAAGTCGAGCCCAGTCAGCTCCAGTACAGATGCGTCAAAGGAACAGGTGAAGGCAGAGGTACAAGTGAAGCCGGAGGCAGCTGCAGAACAAGTGAAGAGCGAGGATGGCAACCGTCGGAAGCGCCACACGAAGAAGGTGAAGTATGTGGAGGAAGACGACATTTCAGAGGGCGAAGAAGCCGCCATTGCTGAGAAGAAGAATCGCGCTCAGCGGCTTGACTATCAGTTGAGGACCGTACGTGGCTTTTATTTCTGATTCGGTTGTTGTGTGACTTCAAGTGGCGATCATTGATTATTATTTTTTTGTTGTCCTTGATTAGGATGTGGGCTACCCGCAATTGGACCAAATTGTCGGACGAAGGATTAACGAGTCTACGGGGCTTGTCGAGTATCTGTGCAAGTTCCTGGGCCGATCGTACTTGCATTTGTACTGGCTCACGTTCGACGAGATGGAGCTGTTCATTCCGGAGGGATACCAGAAGTTCCATCGCGTGCACGTGTATGACCGCAAATTGAGGCGCGAAGGATACCAACCGCTGGATGAAGTGGATGATTTAGAGGCCAACAAGTTGACGGTGGAGAAGATTCTGAACCACAAGGTGGACCCGGCTGACCATTTGGACGAGCAAATTGAAAAGCGCCGACAGCAGCTTTCGTATGAGCCCAAGTTCCCGCGTGTGACAGACTATTTCTTGATGGACAATGCTGATGCACTGTCGGAGCGTATGTTGGGCATCGTCACGAAGCTGACGAAAGAACCCGGAGGAGATATTTTTGAACACCCTGTCGATGTTGAAGAGGTTCCCGATTACCTGAACTTCATCACAAATCCGATGGATCTCGGAACGGTCGCTACTCGAATTGGTCGTGAAAGTTACTACGTTGGACCATCGGCCACGTCGTTGTTTGCCTCGGATGTCAGATTGGTGTTCAACAACTGCAAAACCTACAATGCAGAAGGTTCAGACATCTGGCGCGTTGCTGACGAGCTCCTGCGCTGTTTCGAAAAGTGGTTATACGACTGGGTGCTGTCTCCGACGGCGTGGATGAAACTTCCTCCTACGGGAGATGCGGAGCAAGATCAACAGCTTCAAAAAGAGTTCCGACGTGAAGCTGAAACTTTTTACGACGTTTGGGCATCGTGGCAAATTGGCTGTTGTGTGTGCGGTAACAATGACCACAGCGAAGAGCTATTGTTGTGTGATCGGTGCGATGGTGAGGTGCACATGCAGTGTGCTACCCCCAAAGTGACTGAGTTGCCTGAGGGCGAGTGGTTCTGTGGATACTGCCGGGCGCGTTCTAAGTTTATTGCGAAGGTGGAAGACGTGAAGCAGGAGATCGCTGAAAAGAAGTCGAACACCATCGATGCTGTCCCATCAGGTGCTACCGAAGACAGTGCCCCCTCGACCTCGAATGCGTCCCAAACTGCTCCTTCGGACGAGAAGACGGTAACTACTTCAAAACACATCCCGAACATCATTACGGAACGTGTCGATGGTGACGGAAAGTTCAACAAGAAAACGAAGAAACGAAGCCCTAAAGGAGCTAGCGCGACTAAGAGTTTAGCTCCAATCAGCGTGAAGGATCGTGCCGCCACATTTTTCCTGGTCAAGTGGGTGGGCATGTCCGTTCGATTTTCAACCTGGGAACGTCCTGAAGATATCGGTGACGATGAACAGATCCAGAGATATTTCAAGTTCAGCCGCGTACCTAGTGCCAAGGAAATCAGTGAAACTACGTGCCAGTTGCCGTGCTGCGCTAAACGGCACCAGTACGCTTTAGCTAATAGCACGAGCGGCAAAAAATGTTGCGAAAAAGACCGCTTTTGCACTCTGGGGTACGGCCACGAGGGTGACTGCAGTCGCAGTATTAAGGCGCTGGGCGGGGCATACGGTAGCAGTGCATACCAACGACTGCACATGGCGGAGCAAGTGAAGGCTCAACTGTTTGCCTTTCATTGCTTGCTGAATAACCACACACCAGACAAAGATGTGCTCAAACAGTGTGGAGTGTACACAAACGCGTACGTCACCACGAAGCAACATTTCGCACCGAAAGCTGTTAAAGACGACGGCGATGAAGATTATTCAGACGAAGATGGTGATTCTTCCGACGACGATGCTGACTTTGACGCCGAGCTCGACTATCCTAATCGACCCGCTTTGTACCCAGGAATCCTGACCCTGGAAAATGACGACGGCGAAGAGGAGGACGGTGTGGCTGCGGGTCATAAAAAGAAACCAGAAGAAGAAGTGGGTGAAGTGCTTAGTTCACTTGTTGAACATGTGGCCCTTGGATATCCCACTAAACTGGAGACCGTCAGCGCTGAAGTTCGATACGATTCTAGATATCCTGCAACCACGTTCGGAACCCGTCAAGCCTTCACTGAGTATTGCGTTGTGCTCGGTCGATCTCCATTCGGTCTCGGAATGCGCCTTGGCATTAGCAGCTCTAACAGTGTGTCGGTGCTTGGATTTCAGATTCTCGCAAATGGTATGATCGGCCCAGCTCAGGCATCTGGCGCCATTTCAATCGGGGATGTGCTGGTTGCCGTGAACAACGTTTCGGTGGCTGGGCTTTCTTTCCAAGACGTAGTCAGTTTGATCAGCGCATCTCCCAGCAGCATCTTATTCCACTTCCATTCCCCGAGACCAGCGTTCATGTACCCGCCGTTTTGTCAAGCTAAGCAAGTGACGATGACCCGTGTGGAACAAATTCCCGACGACGCGATTTCTGAAAACTCCAAGTACGCAAACTACAGTTACAACAAGTACAAACGGATGCTCAAAGTGGGAATTGCAGACCCAGAGGTTGCATCGTCAGCTTCAACTCAAACTTTGATGCAGCACTCGAACTATATCGCCCCGAGCGGACCTATGCAACATCTGTATGCTGGTGTCGTCGACAACAGTATCGACCCCCACGAGCATTTTGCTAGTTTCCTCCCGGAGCGCAGCAGTACGTCAAAGAGTGGACCGCGTGGTAGTGGCTCTGGTCCAACTGACCGTGGAGATGCAAATGAGTTCGTGCCATACGAACAGTCGCCAACATACAAAGGTGGCCGTACGTTGCGACAATATCAAGTTGAGGGGCTCAACTGGATGGTTTCCTGCATCAAAGCCCAGCGATCGTGCATCTTGGCGGATGAAATGGGACTGGGTAAAACAGTGCAGATTGTGTCGCTGCTTGAGCATATGAAGTCGGAGGAGTCGATCCGTGGGCCGTTTTTGATTGTTGTGCCTCTGTCCACGATCCAGCATTGGCGTCGCGAAATTGAGAGTTGGACGGACCTCAACGTGTGCGTCTATCACGATATTGGAGATCGTACCACCAAGTTTAATGCTAAAGACATGCGAGCCGTCATTCGAAATCAGGAATGGTATTATCCTGGATTGGGCAACTCAATCTTCAAGTTCCACATCCTGCTGACTACGTTCGAGACAATTTTGGCAGACTTTGAAGAGTTCGAGCATATTCACTGGCGTCTGGTTGTGGTGGATGAGGCGCACCGTTTGAAGAGTGCAGGTTCTCGGGTGCTAAAAATGATGCGTGTTCTCCATGTTGATCGCAAGGTGTTGCTGACAGGTACACCCTTGCAAAACAATACCCAGGAGCTGTGGGTCCTGCTGAATTACCTGGAACCGGTAAAATTCGCGAGCCTTGAAGAATTCAACGCGAGTTTTGGGAAGTTGCACTCACAAGAACAAGTTGTCAAGCTTCAGCAGTTGTTGGCACCTTACATTTTACGACGCGTGAAAGAAGATGTGGAGAAGAGCATCCCGCCCAAAGAAGAAACAATTATCTCGGTGGAGCTTACGACACTGCAGAAACAGTACTATAGAGCCATCTACGACAAAAACAAGAGCTTTCTGTACCGCGGCACGAAGAACGGCTTACCCACGTTGAACAACATCCAGCTGCAGCTTCGAAAGTGCTGTAACCATCCATTCCTCATCAAGGGTGTCGAAGAACGAGAGCTAGAAGAGCTCGGCAGCCATCCAACTCCAGCCCAGGTGATGGAGAAAACTATTGAGTGCTCTGGCAAGATGATGCTCGTGTCGAAATTGATCCCGAAGTTGAAGCGGGATGGCCACAAGATTTTGATTTTCAGCCAGTTCCTGAAGCAGCTAGACTTGCTCGAGCGCTACTGCGAGGCGAACTCTTTTGTCTACGAGCGCCTCGACGGATCCACTGGTGGAAGTATGCGGCAGAGTGCAATCGACCGTTTCTCTCGCCCACACTCGAAGTCTTTCGTGTTCCTTTTGAGCACAAAAGCTGGCGGCGTTGGAATCAACCTCATTGCAGCAGATACGGTAATTATCTTCGATAGCGACTGGAACCCGATGAATGATTTACAGGCGCAGTCGCGTTGCCATCGTATCGGTCAGAAAAAGAGTGTGCAGATCTACCGGTTGGTGACACGCAACACGTACGAGAGCGAAATGTTCGATCGTGCTTCACGAAAGCTTGGTCTTGAGCATGCAGTGTTGGGCACGGCATCCTTCAATGAGAATTCGCAGATCACGAAGCCGTCAGCGGAGCAGCTAGTGGAATTGTTGAAACGTGGAGCGTATGCGCTCATGGAGGATGACGATACGGCATCTAAAGAGTTTGCTGAGCGCGATATTGAGACCATTTTGAAAGAAAACGCCCGTGTCATGATAGTAGGTGGCGGATCTAATGCAAACAAGGGGGCGGATGGCGATGCGGCTGGGCCGACATCACCTCGACAGAGGAAATCGCCGCTGAAGTCAAACAAACGCAAATCGCTTGGTGGAATGGCGGTGGACCGTTCGTCTTTTGTTGCAGAGGGATCCACAGGTGAGCTTTCTGTGGACGACCCCAACTTTTGGGAGAAGGTGCTCCCTGGTGCTGTGTCGGTGGAGATGCTGAGCTTGAAGCTTGAAGATGGCAGCGCTGTTAGCTCTCGCCAGGCGAAGATTAAGTTTATCAGTAATCTGGACATCGCTCTCACCAGCTTGGTCACTGAGATGAGCTCCGGCAACAGTGCGGACGATGGTCGCGTGGGAGTTCGAGATATTCAGCACGAATATGATATTGCCATCCAGGTGCTGAGTACTGTAAGCTCGAAGTACCGCAACGAGTTCTCCAGCGAGCAGATTGATCTCGTGAAGGGGTACTTGTCAAAGCTAGAGAAGTCACGGGTCCGAAGCTGTCGACTAGCGCCATCTCGGACGAATATGTTCCAGGATGAAGATTTCGACACTCCGAAGAAGAAAAGGCGAAGGAGGAGCACGCCCTCGGGAAGCAGGGCGGCTAGTAGTGAGGATGAAGCATACGGTGATACTCCAGTGAAAAAGCGCGGTAGCAGACCTCGTGGAAGGCCGCCAAAGCACCCGCGAACTGAAGGTGGTAAGCCTCCGACTGCTCTTTTCCAGGCCGGCGCTATTAACGACAGCGACGATTTGTGTACTCTATGCGGTGATGGCGGATTAATTTTGCTGTGCGATGGCCCCTGCCATCGCTCGTTCCATCTTGAGTGCGTGGGGATGAAAGACGAGCCCAACGACGAGCAGTGGCTGTGCCCAGATTGTGCGGAGGGGCGTCACATGTGCTTGATTTGTAAGCAGGTTGGTGAAATGGGTGTGGAATTCGGTGTCACTCAATGCTCGGTAGCGAAGTGTGGAAGGTTCTACCACAAGGGCTGTCTTGCTAAGAGCTCCCGTGTAGAGTGGGTTGGCAAAAAGCGGTTCCGTTGCCCGAGCCACTTTTGCCACGCTTGCTCCCAGGCCAGTAAGAAGGAATCCGCCGCCAAAAGCAAGAAGAAAAAGGATGATGTCAAGACACACGTGGTGAGCTGCATCCACTGCTCGCAAGCCTTCCACCCGGAGTGCATTCCATCAGCGGACAAATTCATTCGGCTCTCAAAGAACCTCATGATTTGCGCGAACCATCTCGACGGGAAAAGACCACCACAAGCTGCTGCAGGGAACGCATCTCGATCGGGATCTACGCAGCGTGCTGGTGCAGCGCTTGCCGCTGCTGCAGCTCAGCAGCGAGAGGAAGTTCCGCAGCAGATACCTCTTGATGAGGACGACGAACTTGATGAGGACGTATCGACGGATAGGTCAAGCGGCAAACGCAAGCGTGCGTCGTCGCCGAAAAGGGCGAGCAGTTCTGGCGCGAAGAAGAGCAAATCTACTCATTTGGATGGTGCAGACAAGTCGGTCGTGAAGCCCAAGATCTGCGCGTTGTGCCACCGCGGAAACGTAATGGGAGGGGGCGCAGACGGCCATGGCGCAACGTCGGCATCGTCTTCATCCAAGAACGGAGCGCGCAATGGAAACTCGAGTACGGACTCAACGGGCACTGCTACGGCTGATATGGCATTAGAAGGACCATTCATCGAGGCCCCGGTGCGGTTAAAATACGCGGACAAGCCCAATGAGTCGGTGTATGTTCACTTGAACTGCGCCGTGCACTCGCCAGAGGTATACGTGAAGGCGGATGGACTTATCATGAACTTGCCGAAGGCAATCAAGCGCGGGCGTCAGCTCAAGTGCACCAGTTGCCATAAACTCGGCGCCACCGTTGGCTGCGTCGTGGCGAAATGCCGGCGCAATTACCACCTGCGCTGTGCTGTTGAGAGCGGCGGCGAGATTGACGGCACGACGTACGCCCTGTACTGCAAACCGCACGCTGCTGCGCGCAAGGAACCGACTCGTGTGTGCGTGTGCAGCGCCAGCGAGGAGGACCCGGTGCTCACACTGGTGTGCTCGTCATGCTGCACCAAGTTTCACCCGAAGTGCGTCAACATGTCGGAGCGCCACGCGGCTCGCATGGCGAAGACGTGGGTCTGCGGGGTCTGCGACGGATCGGCCGCAGCGAAGCCGATGACCCCGACTCACGTGCCCGCGGCCAAGGCAAAAACTACAGTGTCGAAGAAGGCAGCGACCAAGCCAGCCAGCTCGGAGGATCCTGCCAAGACGACTAAAAACCCGGCATCGAAGAAGAAGAGCAATGGCAAGGCGGAGAGCGTCGACGCAGCCGAGCCGCCCACCACTCCGAAGCGCAAGAAAGCCAAGAAGAACCGCCTGAGCATGCCTCGGAACAAGTCTCGGCCCAAGTCGAATGACACGACGCACGGGATTTCGCCGCACATGGACGCGGACTCGGACAGCGGCGTCTCCACGGACGAGTAGGTAGAACCAAGGTATGAAGGAAGACATGAGCAATATATGGTAATACAACTTCGGTCGAATGGATCTGTGCGATGGATCAATTTCACGATAACGTGCAGCAAAGCTCGAAAGGAAACATTATTTTTTCATGATCCAGCTCGCTTTCCTTGATCTTTTTGATGAGGATGAAGATGTGTATTGAATTGCTTGAACGAAAGAATCGTAACACCTACGGGTCAAAAGACCAGCAACTCAACATGCTGCCTCAATGGCTACAAGTATCAAGTTGCCCACGCGACAGCATGTACCGGTAGACGTTTTGAAGCTTTCCAGTGAGGGTAAGCTACAGTATTTTGTTAAAAATCCGACCCCAGAATTGTTGCCGAGGTCTTCTGTTGGTCCGTAGCGAGTATCACACAATCTCTGTTGGAGCTCGGGTGATATGCATCAAGCTACTCGAATCCGAATTTGCTCGCCGTCTGCACTTGAAGTACCTAGATCTTTGCGCTCGTACGTACTTGCCAGTGGCAAGTTGCCACCACCGATGGGGGACTCAGCCGCAGAGGGTATAGTATCCGCTCTGCGAAAAATGTCCGACTTGAACCGTGCCAAGTGCCCAGCGCGATGGCCAGGGGCGTCACGCGTGGTGATCGCTGGGCTGGTGCGCGTTACGCACTGCGCCAAACTGCACTCATGGCCGATCGATGCACGCCAACACAGCCCGAGCTGCCAGCAGTAACGCTGTGGACCCGTCGTCCCGGGCTGGAGGACATCGCAGGCGAAAAGGGGACGCATGGCGACAGGTGAAAGCGCTGACCAGAGACTCCCCCATCGGTCGGCTGGACGGCGGCAACAGATGCTGTACTCTTGAATCGGATTGAGCGAGGGCTACACTGGCGCCTCCAACACTTGCAGAGCGGCCAATTTTCTGCCTGCAATCGACCCACCGAGGTTGCCGTTGCCGTTGATGGGCTGGGCTAAGATCGCCGCCGAATATCTGAAATGACGCCGAAAAAAGAGACGTTCTACGCTTTCCCGCCTTCTGATTGGTCAGACGAGGTTCGATGTTGAACTCGAGCATCCTCGATTGAACCGCTTCGTCGGACGCGTTTTACAAGGCGAGTCAGTTACCCTGCTTTCGGTCGTCATGAACATGCCTCGCTGGGTGTGTATGTGTGAACCTCTGCGATGCATTGGCGAGTCTTGGGAGAGACGGTTAACTATTGCTTGCCTCTGCCATTGGGGGCTCGAGCCCGATTTGCTCGGGCTTAACAGCGCCCTTCGCTGTCAGAGTATCTAACGCTTCAGGCCAGTTTTGGGCTCGGGCATGTCACGCCGGAAGCCATCTGCGGCGCACAGGGTAAAGCCCACCGCGCCCGAACTTTAGTGGTCGAGGCTCGGTGTGTGATATGAAGGCTCTCCTCTCCCCCTTTACACCCTTGGGCTGGTCCCATTTCCCAACTTACTTGCTCTTGGACTTGCCCTCGCTCCGTCCGACGGCATTTTCCTGCTTCCTTGCTCTCGGGACGCGCGCGAAACGAACGCGGTGCCGGCGCCTTCCCTTGCAGCAGCAACCTGCGAAGTGGCTGAGCCTCGTCCACGAAACTGAGCCAGTCTCGTCGCCACCAACTGCAAGCAGCAAGCAAGCGGCTCCCGCTGCTCCGTCTCTCACCGGCGAGGCAACTTCGGCAACCTGGAGCCGAGTGCTTCGCTTGGTACCGTCCCAACTGCGTTTCGCCCGCCCAAGATAGTCCCCATCGCACTCGGCAATTGGCCCGCCAAGCGCCACCCTGCGCCAAGAGACACTCGCTGCACACTCGACTCAGGCTGCAAGTTGCGATCCGCCACGCCACGCCACGCTAGCGCCAACCACCGGCAGCAACACAGCAGCGGCACCGAATTATTTTGGAGAACGACGACGGAGCCCAGCAGACCATCCCCCCATCAGTCGAATCAGCTCCATCGCATCGCACCATCTAGATGCCACTTTCCATCTCGTTTTACCACAGCAAGCGCGGCGAGAACGTGGCCAGCTCGTACCAGAGCGTGGCGTTGCACGACCGAGAGAAGGTGAAGCACAAGATGGCGCTGCCCTGCGAGTTCTACCGCAACATTTGGGGCCCCACGGAGGAGGAGGACGCCGCGCTGCGGCGCCGCGCCAGGTCCAGCAAGTTCAGCAGCTCGCCGGCCTCGGCGACGTCCCGCAGGTACAAGAAGAGGCTGGCCACGGGGCCGCTCGTCGACATTGCGCAGGTGGCGCACGTGGTCACGACCATGTCGGACTTCCGCGCGGACTACGGCGAGGACTCGAAGCGGGTGCGACTCGTCAACATCTGGGACGACCGCAGTCTCGCGCTGGGCTTGGAGCCCGAGTCCAGCTCGGACAAGTCCTCGCGCAGCAGCGGCGGCAGCGACCAAGGGCCGTCCACGGCTGACACCGAGCCGGAAGAAATCATGTCGCCCATCAGCCGAGCCGACCGGATCACAGAACTCAGCTGCGAAGACAGCGACGACGACCTCAGCAGTCTAGCTTCGTCTGTGGTGAACCAGCGGCCAGGCCAGCTCAAGCGAACCAAGACGCCGGAGATCGTGTTCCCCAACAACAAGAAGAACGCGAACATGGGCCGAGGCAATGGCAATGGCAAGACGGACAAGAAGGAGCTCAACTTGAAGAACCTGCCGGTCCCTCCTCCGTCGTCCCACAACGGCAGCATCATCTTCAGCGCCGTGTTCTCGGAGCAGACTGACTGGAGCTGGAGCGCCAAGTTCCTGCTGGGAATCCACGAGCCAATCCGCCACGCTCTCTTTGTCATGGATCGGTTCTTGGAGCAGTCGCAAACTCGATCGAAACCTGAAGCTTCGCAGACGTTAGCACTCGAGACGCACGTGGCAGAGTTTTTCCTCTGGTTCAAGGCGTACTTTGTGGAGTATTTGCAGTGCCAGCACGAGGTGAAGGCGTCGGTGTTGCTGCCGCTGCTGAACCTGCCTGTGACGACCAAGCAGCAGATTCTGGACGTGTATCAGGATATCTCGCAGATGCTGACGCAGATCCAGCAATTGGAGCGAGCGTTGTGTGTGAGTGGGGCCTGCAGTGCGTCGTCCTGGCTGCTTCGTCTTCAAGTGTTGCAGACAGAGATCCGCCAGCTCAATCGGACGCTGCATGCAGCATTAAACATGGAGGAAACGACTTTGCACTCGGCCATGAGCGCTGCGTTCACCGAGCGCGCTTTCAGGACACACATCATGCCCCGGGTATTCCGCGCTATTCGCGCCAAACGTGTGGTGGTGCCTTGGATTGTTGAGCGGAGCAAGATCTGGGGTGGCGACACGGAGCAGCGCAGCATCCAGGGCATGCTACCGTTCTCAGCAAAGTTCATGTACCGCAAGATCTGGCGGCCGTACTTCATGAGCAACGTGGCAGTGGCAATGAAGAACTTGAACGAGTTTGTTAGCGCTGCAGACTCGAACGGCAGCGGGTCAATTTACAGCGAGCGCCATGGCGAGATGTGCACCGTAATGTGAAGTGGTAGACTACCACTGGTAGCGAGGGGGGCAGGCAGGGCTCGTTTCTTTCGTTTCTGGGCTCTACAGCTATTTATTTTATGGAGCATCGAGTGTGTCGTGGCGTGCGTGACCTGGGCTAGCAGAGCGAAACCAAAGTAGCGAGTACCAGCAGCTTTCTTATGGTTAATACACAGCAATTCCTGCAGTATTGACACGGGGTCAGCTAAAGCGACGTTGAAGTTCTTGGTTAATCGCATGCATCGGTCGGTCGTTACACAAGTTGCAGTGGTTTCATGATCGATCCCCCGCCCGTTGAAAGAGCGATCCCATGTGCCGCATTGTTCTCGTTGGCACAAAGCGTTATTCGCAACATGACTGCTCTTGCGAAGGATCACGAGAAGATCGAGGCGAACTGCGAGCCCGAGCAGCAAGCTCCTCTGGATAAGCTGGACCAAGATGATAACACTCAACCAGACGAAGACGATAACCAAACAGCAACTTCCTTCTCCGCGGAACTGCCGAAAATTGCCTGGGAATGGATCTGCTGGTCCGGTGCCAAGACGTTCGACGGCATGGACTTTGCAGGTGAAGTGCTCGCGAACTTCCTTGGGCTTACGCAATCGAAGTACCGGTGGATCCTCGACGCCCAAGAGCGCGAGGAGGAGGAAACGCAGCAGCGCCGACTGGAAAAGCGACAGCGTCGCCAACTTCGCCTTGAGCAGCTTCTTGAGGCCGAGCAGCGGAAACTACAGGAGCTTGAGACTGGTGCGTTAGAGCAAGACGAGGAGTTATTGGAGACATAACCAACTGTGTAGGATTCACCTTGTACGGGGCAATACACATACACAAGTGCTTCCCCTGTCTGCGTGAGGTGCGCGTGTTGTTGCATTGTCAGGCGAATGAACGGAGAACTCGGATCATTTACATTGATGTTGAAGTCATCTCATCCTACCCCAAAACGACGGCACAAAATCAGTGGTTGCCAGTAACAAGCTGCTACTAGCAACGTGAGTCTACGTGTGCTAGGAGGCAATACGTGCCGATCGCCGTCGACCCATAGTGGCCGTGGCTTCACTGCTTGCCATCGATACTACCCCAAAGTGGATGTGTTGGCGGCTTAACTCCAGCGCGTACCAGCATTCGCACAGCTGCCTTCTCGATGCGTTGCAGCTGCCGATTTACGACACTTTCGCTCTCGGGAGTGAACTGCTCGGTACGAATCGTAAGAAGTCCTGCACATCATCAGCAACAGTCAGAACCTCGTGGAGCTGGACACTCGCGTAGACAACAGCCGCAGCAACAAGTCGCACCGTTCAGGTTGCCAAAGAGCACGTCCGTCGAGTATCGGTCTCCAATAACGACAAGCGTCTCAGGGTCTACTTCTCCAAAATGTTTCTTGACAAATGCAATGCCTCCAGGTTTCTGCAATCACAAGCAGCTCAGCCACCCACTCCATCCAAGCATCAACGCCGCACCCATTTATTACCTTCTGGTTGTGACGTAGCACAGCTACTTGGAGGCGTTCCTCGATTTTCTTGGCTTCAACGCCATCCTTATCGTCCGTGGAGCCCGCCGAGTTGGAAAAGATCACGACGCCTGAGTCGCCAAAAACTCGGCGGCATTCGGCCAGCGAAGACTCGAGATGCGGCGCAATCTCCAATTTATGCGGCACCGTCAATGTGTTGTCCTTATCGAAGATAACGCCGCGGAATCCGCGGTCCCGTAGCGTCTGGAACGGCACCTCCGTCACATCTGAAGCAGCGATACGAGCAGAACGTGCACAATGAGCGACATTTTTCACAGTAGTATTATTCCGTACAAACTGGTCAGATTCACACTATCTTTGCATGTGTTTAAAGCTGGGAGAGTGCAGATCACCTTTCACGGACAGTTGGGGCAGCAGGAGCTGCGGCTGGCGCGTCAGCACGCGGCAGAACTCCACGACGCCGCCGAGATTGAGGCCTTTCATGATGCTGCGCTGCTCACCCCAAAAAGCAATGGCTTCACATTCGGACCAATCCAATCGCCAGATCTTCAGTTAATCCCACCATTCGTCAATATGCAGGTCACTTTCTACCAATGAAACGGCACTGCCGTTTCGGCAGCCAGTGACGAGCTCAGAAATACTCGCTCTCCGTCACCCGCAAGACGCCCGAGCAGGTATCGCTCCTCCCACTTCCCGGCGCTGTAGCTTCGTCGTTGCGCGACCTGCTTCTGTTCTCCCACCGCGACGTGGTTGCCCTTCTTCTCATCTTGCTTTGACAGCTTTTCCCAGCGAATAAAGCCCCATAATGGCCGAGAACCCGGAGGAGACGCACATCCACGACGAAGAGGAGGACAAGGCCGATAACTCGAGCTCCGACGACGACTCATCCTCCTCCAGCTCGGGATCCTCGTCCTCGTCTTCCTCCTCTGACTCGGAGTCGGAGGACGAGGCTGAGACAGAGAACGCCAACGCCGGCGCAGACGCCAGCGGCTCCAAGCACGCCACTCCTCACGGAGGAGGCATCGCCAGCCGCACTGGCCATGGCTACCCCTCCAACAATACGGGCCCGGCACTGTCTGCGCCTCGCCCTCATGGCCTCGCTGCGACTACGGAGAGTCTGAACGTGAACTCGACGCGAGCGGCGGCGAGATTTAAAGCCTCAGAGACAGAGGCGATGATGCCGCTGGGCACCCGCAAGCGCGATCGACGTACCATCGAGGAAATCCAAAGAGACTTACGTGATAAGAGGAAGAAGCCGCTGGGCGCCCCCGCTGCGAGGTCCAGTCCTCCTCCGCCGAAAGGATCGCCGGTGAGGTCTCCAGAAGCCGAAGCTGTGGTGAACAGCGGCGCTCCGATGGCTGTGGGTGGTCCGCTGGGTCAGTTCGGAGCAGTGGGACGACTGCCAGTGAAGAGGAAACCAGTGTCGGCACATGACAGATTGGCGATGAAACTTAATGGACGCAGGACCACCAGCGCCAAGGCGAAGAAGCCCGCCAGCTCGACTGCTGGAAGCACCACGGTACCGCCGGTTTCGGTAATGACCAACAAAACTGTTACGAAGCCCATGACTGCGACAAGTTCAGGGGGAATCGCTACAGGAAATAGTAGCAGCAGTGATCATGGAGGGGATGCGGGGGGCGATGGATATAGCAGCAGCGTGAGCAAGTCGTCAGCTCCTGCAGTCGACGGAAAAGTGGTTCGCGCGATGCTTCGTGCAATGCTTCGCTACGGAGACCTGACCGATGTAGGTCTCTATCCGAAAGCCGCGAATTTCGCAGACGAGTACAAGATGCCTAGCTTTATCGAGCGGTCAAATCTGCAAGCGACTACCAAGGTCTCCATGGATCGGCTGCAGACTCTCGCGAATGATGTCGCTCAGAAAGCCAAGCGTGCCGTCGAGGCACGACCACCGCACGATAACATCAAGATCGCTGAAGTGGAGGCTCGATCGTCACAGATTATTGAACGCCTATACGAGAACCTCAAACTCCGGGTCGCTGTTCAACGCGCATTGCGGACTGCTGGTTGCTCTTCAGGAAATGCACAGGCTAATGCTCAAGGGGCATATGTATTGGTGGCGAAGCAGAGCGATCTCTCCGTGTTGGGAGTTCAGACCCGGGACTTGCCGAGCTGGACTTGGGCTGAAAAGGAACATGACTGGTCTCAGCGCAAGGATGCAGCGTTGCTTCTTGGTGTTTACGTCCATGGATTTGGGGGTTGGGAAGACATCTTGAATGATGATTTGCTTCACTTCCAAGGGCAACGAGCTCTAAAGGGCGAACGCCTAAAGAAACGTGCTGAAAATCTGCTGAAGCGCCTGCCTGCACCTGATGTGGACGCTGGCGATCCACGCATTGTCCAACTCGCTATCTCGCTGAGTTCTGCTGGTGCCAACTCGAATCAGTCTTTGGGTGCGCAATTCAGTGCCATCATTCATAGTGGGGCCATCGCTGGAGTTACAACATCAATCCCCGCTGTTCCGGCTACCGGTGGAGGGCGAATGGCGCGTGCTGCGGAGCGATTCGCTGCACGGCAACAAAATGAAGATACACTCGCCCGCCGGCACGTTGGGCTTAGCAACGGAACTTCCACATCTAACGGTCAGGGATCGGATTCGGGGCGGCAGCACAAGACACCGGTCATGAGATCTCCTGCGCAAACAAGTGCTGTCGATAATGAACCAGAAGAAGGAGAAATTGGAGGGGCGTCGCCGACGCAGTCAACATCCTCGCGACATAAAAGACGTTCGTCCTCGGCGGAGGATGAAGATCGGGCATCGTCACGAAAGAAACATCGCAATAACAGCAGTGATACTCCAAGTAAGAAGGAAAAGCGGAAGAAGGAGCACCGAAGAAGTGACCAGCCGGAGGCCCCTGCGGTGGTCGCGAGTACTGTGAATGATGTGGCCCCGTTGCCACTGCTTTCGACTGACGAATGCTATGAAAAGTGGAAACCGAACAAGAAGCTGCGCGAAATCCGGCAAGTGCTGAAAAAGATGAAGATAATGGCCGACTGGTCTCGAAACCAAAAGGACGAGACTGTCGTTGAGAAGGTCTTCAAGTATGTGAGTACCATCGGGGAAGAGATCGATCGCATCGTGACACAGCACCAAGACAAGGAGGAGCGGCACCATCCTAACGCGTCGTCTCGCGAGGTTGACGAGCTTTGCACATGCCTTTGGACATACGCCGCGGGCTTCACCCCGTTCACGCCCCAAGGTTTTGAGCGCCTATACGACGACATTTGTGCGGATGGGGATGCTCTTGTCGCAGCCAGATCATGACGCGCTTCACGGCGACCATCGCGGCGTGAAAAGTGATGTCAAGGAAGCTGTGCGCCGGACACCCAGGTGCGTTGTCTCAACGAACAGATAAACGTATCAACAAGATGGACTGCTTCCAGGTTGCGGAATGTCAGCATGTATCGGCATTTTTATCGTTGTGTTGACCGTTTCGGTCGCTACAGACGCCTTCAGCGGTGGCCGTTTGCACTTTTGCGATTTGCCGGTTCGTGTCGGAAGGAGCGCCCTCATGATGTCTGTCTTGCCGACATTGCTGCAGCCTGCACCAACGGCGGAGGAGCTGGCGCTCAAGGAACAGGTTACTCAGGTGCTAACAAGCCAGGGCGTTCTAGCAAAGTTGAAGGCAGAGCTACGTGCTGCAGTTTTTGAGGTTATGCACGAGCGAGAGGGTTTCGCGAAAACGAATGACCCTACGGCCCCAAACTTGAGCGACTTCCCCTTGGAGACCAGGACAACTGCGTTGGCTCTGATTGTCGAGTGTCTGCAGTTTTTCCACTGGGAGCACGCGTTATGTGTTCTGCTCGCAGAGACCAATGCAGAAGATGAACCTTACGATAGTGCACAGCTGGTTAAGAAGCTCGGGTTAGGAAGTACCAACTCGTCGGCCATGCCGACACTGTTTCAGCTCGTCGAGTCCAGGGTGCTAGGCAACGATCAGAGTGATCGGTTTATCAGGCCAGCGACGACCATCAAGCCCGATCAATTCAATGATGGCGAAGAAAGTGGTGAAGAAGCCACTGTGCATGCAGGCGACGTAGCACGGAAGGCGCGGCCATGGGAGCGAGACGACGATACGCACTCACTACCTGTAAAAGAGCCCGAACCAGCCCTGATGCAGCGTAAAGATGAAGATACAGATGAAGGCAAAGAGGAAGAGGTTGAGAGCAGCGCAGAGATCGAAGAGAGCATGGCGGAAGAGGTACCAAGTGGATCTGAACTGGAGGAGTCGAACTTTACAAACTACGAGGATGAAGAAAGCCAAGACTACCGTGCCCAAGCTAGCACACAACCCACTGATCTCTACTCGGCACACCAGCAAGAGAAGTTTCAGGGTGACAAGGACCAAGAAGAGAGTCATGACAAGGATACCCACGAAAGTAACGACGACGATGCCGTGTCACTAGCAGCTCCTCCTCCAGCACCCGCAAAGCTACCTTCTTTGCCACCTCTAATGAATACATCAAATGGAGCCAATGCTGGAGATGCAGAGGACGATTTCGATGCGGTAAGAGCGGTTGAGATATTCACGGGTTTTATTGTGGCCTAATAGTTATTGTTTTGCCTTGTGTAGGAAGAGGAGGCCGAACGGTTGAGGAAGCTAGATGCAGCGTTGCAAGCCATGGAGGCGGAAGACGACACAGGCACTCTCCAGCAATTGAAAAAGTCGCTGCAAATGGAGCTCCAAGAGCAGGATAGTTTGGTGAGTAGTGGGGGCCCCGGCAAAGCGGATGAGGATAACGATGACGCAGACGCTGAGCCTCAAGGTAATAAGAGCGAAGATGATGATGAAGATGACGATGGATATGGAAGCAGCGACTTCGAAGAAGAGGAAGAAATTGCCAGGTAAGGAGCAACCACGAGTACTGTTCCAAGTATGCTTCATGGCGTTCATGGTTTTCTATGCTGTTTGGTCCCTACAGCGAGATTTCCGAGGAAATGGAGTCCATGCCAGAGCTCTCGGATAAAGAAGATGAAAGCGAAGACGGAGCAGCCACGTCGGCGGCAGAGATCGAGCCACCTAGCACCCTTCGAAACGATACCCGGGTTGACAGTGAAGATGCGTTGAACAGCTACGACTACATTGAAGATGTTGAGAGAGGTGGGTGGTAATAACGCGCCCGTGGAATGGTATCATCGTCGTAAGAAATTCACAAGCAATAACAGCGTAGGTATCAAGCTGAAAGCACCCTCTTAACTCGATAGCTCTATATCGCGTTTTCGCCCTGCACAGGTTGAGATCGCTCGCACCTCTAGTTTCACTTGCGCTTTCCAGCTCCAACGAGCTTGTTCAGTAGGTTCTGGTCCTCGAAGGCCTCCGGGTGAATGAAATAGTGGCGGTCACGGGCCTGGAACGACACCATGGGGTGCATCGCCTGGGTAGGAGGTGACACGTCGGATAGCCGGAACGAGCTCTTCTGCAGCTGAGCGAACAGCGTCACGGTCTCCACTGTCACCGTGGGGTCAGCATCCCCGACAGCAGGCGCCGTCGACGAGTCGGTCAGCCACATTTGCATCACGTACGGCTTGAACAGATAGTGGAACAGCGACGTCGTGCCCAAGCCGAACAGCATGATGGTGCCGCACATAGCCCACTAAACGAACAGAGAACGAATTGCATCAGTACAAGTTACCATCGACACCAGTGCTTTATCTACGCCCCTGTCGATGTGCGCTTACCTTGCCGATCGTGGACGTGTCCTGCTCGCTCAGCACACAGAGCACCGGCATGCCGATCGAGGTGAGGGTGCAGCTGGTGACGGACACCGCCTTCATGAGGCGCACAGCACGCGACATAGGCGCCTGGTAGACCTGTGCACCTTCCAGGTTCGTAGCATTCAGCTCCACCTTGTCCTTGTTCTCCTCACGCGCGTCTTCATCGGTCTGGGATGAACTGAAGTGGCGGACAGTGAACGGTCCACTGAATCCAGCGCTGCGGCGGCTGTTAATCTCGAGCGAGAACCGCTGGAGCGTGGCTACGTTGGCGGGACGACTGGCAATACGGGAGGCCGTGTGAAGCGACCGGAGAGCAGGAGACAGCGCCTCAGCGAGCCGCGCTGCGCGGTGCGATGCGCGGAACACCAACATCGTGAATCTGTGGCTCTGTGGCTAATACTAACGGGATTTTTACGATAGAAATGCAGTCGTCGTCACCTTGAAATTTATGGTATACTGAATATTCACCGGTACACGTAGCGGTATTTGTATGTTGTCGCGCGAGTCTGTGTACTCATGCTACAGAATAGTAAAACCCCGACTGCTCTGCTTTCAACGTACGTGAAAATACGACGAACGACTCATTTGAAGCGCTGCAATCCAGCGTGGGCCAATGTCCAATGGCTCTGATGCGCGTCCAGCTGCCGACTGGCCTTAAATCTGGCCGAAGAATCGCGGTTTAGTGGGCCGAAGCAACGGTTGCATCATAGTACCGGTGATCCAGGTGTGTGTGGCTTGCCACCGCTTGGACAGAAAAGAATGTACTGCATCCACATTGCCATCTCGCCGCGACTTGCCTTGCTTTACACGGTACAACAAGGTTTTGTACTTCCGAAAAAGTATGGTTTCCGCTCTTACCCCGCTTAGGTTCATACCTAGACTTCGTGCCACGTTGCAGCATACAAATGACGCAGTTGAAGTTTACTTGAGCGGGGTCGCGAGCTTGACGCATCTCGCCCGGCTATGTTCCAAACCAGTTGGCGGTTGTGTGGCGGAAGCCGCCAGCTGGTGTTTACTAAAGTCGCAGGCGTAGTCAGCGGTGATGCCCGCCACGTTGAAGCCTCACTTTGGGGCGCCGCGGGCCATGCTTGCATCGTCGACTGCACCATGGGTTCGCATACCATAGCGATTTCTTGACGTGAAGCAGCAAGCGCAGGAGGAAAGAGCAGGAGAGACAGGGCACCGTCCCGCCACCGACCCTACGCTCTCCGGGCCGATCCAGATGGCTTCGATATTTCTTTCGTGTCTTGCGCGTGGTATCGGCAATGCCAGGTGTGCTCACTTGCCTCGGTCTCCGCTTGGCTTTGGCTCGGGTTTAAATCGGCCGTCGGCGCCACGCGCTGCCGAACCGAAGCTCTATTGCACAACTAGCACTTCATGTAGCGCCTCAAACTGGCAAGCCGCAACGCGATCGCTTTGAGCGTCAGCCGATTGACTTCCGAGCGCTGGTGCAGCTTCTTTTCGCCGCCGGTCACACGTTCCAAGTTGAAACCACGGCGAGCTTTTCCCTCCGGTTTTTGTCCAATACCCGGAGACCAGCGAGAAGAACAGCGGACGATACCTACACCAAGATCAGCGCGTCCACCGTCTCCACCCAACGCTCGCAGTAGCTCCGCCCACTCGCGCTCTCGGCCAGTTGCAGACTTGTGGCTTGCCCCGTTCGCGCCAGCTGCCACCAAAGATGCAGTCACAGCAGCAGCAGCAGCCTCGACAGGGCGGGTCGTCGGGCGGTGGTGGGGCAGCCCGCCGATCGCTTGTGAACCCATTCACGACGCCGTCGGGGGGCTACCAGCAGCAGTCGAGCTTTTTGCAGTACCCCGCGCCCATGGAGCCTTCTTTTCGCAGCTACGGCCAGCCACAGCAGCCCCCGGCGTACCACCAGCAAATCTCCGGACGCTATTGGCAACCGCCAACGGGCGTCAACCCTTCGTCGTCAAGCGCAGGAAAGCAGCGTCGGCACGGCGGCAGCTTGGACTTAAGCGAGTTTAGCGATATTCTGGACACCAACTCGGTCCGCAGCGGGGGCGACGCAGCGCCGGCGCTGGGGGGAGCGCCGTCGGAAGCGGCGTCGGAGATGAGTATGGCCAGCTTCGACGTCCAGTCTTTCCACGACGGCATGACGGGGTCCACAGGCGGAGCAGAGGTGGATACCGCTGGGTTTCAGTCGGCAGCGCGGGCGACAGGGTCGACGGCTCAGAGCTCTGCGGCCAGCAAGGCACCAACGAGGACAATGCGTGCTTCTGCTGAGCCAGAGACCATGTCGTTGGTGGACGCCGCGTACATGCCGTTCAATGAGTCGTGCGTCGAGCCCGACCTGACGACCGAAAAACTCCCCAAGGACAGGAACGAGCGATGCCAGTTCTACGACTGCCCGAACCGAGCTCGAGTTTCACAGTCGTACGGCAATTTCTGCAATCGCCACGTGATCGTTGCCCCCTGTGGCTTCCCTGGTTGCCGAGATAAGGCCATGGAGCGAGCTGCAATGTGTGCGAAGCACATGGAGTTGGGCAAGCAACCGCTGCAGGCGATCTTGGATGCTCGCACGCAAAATGTGCTGGTGTGCAAAATGTCTGGCTGCTTTAAGAATGACCAAGGCCGCGGGTATTGCCGCGGACACGAGAAATTACTGATGGCCACCGGACGCCTGCCGGCTCACATCAACAAGCGCCGGCTCAATAGTGCTTACACCATGTGCAGCTACCCCGACTGCAATAAGCACTCTCAGCGACACCATTTGTGCCGAACCCATGGCAATTTGATCATCAAGGAAGCCCAAGAACTGGCCAACAGACCCGATGCGTCAGAAAGCTACGAAGAAATTCTCAGCAGGATGCAAAAGGACATTCGGCGATGCACGCACGAAAACTGCACCAAAAACTCGCAGCGAGATCGACTGTGCACTGTGCACTATTACGAGAAGCACCATTTGCGAAAGGATGGGTCGATGCCGGCAAATGCTGCCTCGGATGAAGCGTCATCGAAGGAGAATGTCGATTCAAGTCAACTAGAAACAGGAGAGCGTCGCGGTGGGAGTGACATTCGAGATGTTGAGCGGACACGCTGTGAAACTCCTGGTTGCGGGAATCTGTCGTACGCTGCGGGATTGTGTGTTGAGCACACTAAGGAGAGCCAAAACCTGATGACGAGTCAAGGACGGTATGATGACCCATTTTCTTCTGAAGGAGCTAGTGGCATTTTCTCCACTGACTTGGAAAATGAAACGAAGCAGGGTTTGTTCAGCCGAAACCGAAAACCACAAACTGTTGCTTCTCTCGCTTCAACGAGCGCACCCCCACTGACAAATTCCGGTCACACGAAATGCACGAATCCAATGTGCGATCGAGAAAGCTACGGGCGTGATTACTGCGAGGCCTGCCAGAGACTGTTTTCCCCTCTTGTGATCGCTATAAATGATGACTCGGCCAGTTCGTCTGGATATCCATTCAATAGCTCGAGCACTGGTATCGGCCAAGCTGAAGAAAAAGTATCGTTGTGCCGTGTGAGCAACTGCAAGCAAGATGGTGTCCGCGGCGGGCTGTGTGCACTGCACCTTCGGGCCTTCAAGACGGGATCATTGTCAGTGGATAACTTGAAGCTGGACTCGCAGGCACAACAACTGCGGCGTGAACAGGAGCTGGCGGAAGCGGCGGCGGTCGCTGCCGCTGCGGTAGAAGCCAAGCAAGCAAGCCCCTCTTCGTCGGCCAAGGCGAGGAAATATTACTGCAAAGTTGACGGGTGTGATAAGCAGGCTCAGAAACGGAACTTGTGCAAGCGTCACTATCGCCAGCAGGAGAGTCTTCCTACAGGAAAACCGCAACCAGAAGTTAGGCCAAGCGGTTCGACGAGAAACTACCTTCCTCGGGCGGAGCAATCTGACTTTCCTCAACCAACTATAGCGTGTCGCTTTCCTGGATGTTCGCAGATCGCGGGTGGTGGTGGTGCTCTGTTGTGCTTGGCGCACTCTAAGGCGACGTTTTGTTGGCAGCCAGGATGTGAAAATCTCGTGAACCACCAGTGCTTCTGTGACTTCCATGCGTTTCGGCGGCAGTGTGCCTACGAAGGCTGCATGTACACGGCCGAACGAGACAGCAGCGGCTGCATGAACCACGTGCTGGCGCGACGGTGTCGTCACGAGTTCTGCGATAAGTTTGCAGTGGGGTTGAACAGTGATTGGTGCCGCCTGCATCAGATTAGCTGCCAAGGCTCTCCGTGTACGCTGTGCAGACTGCACGCACTATCTCTGGATGGGCTAGCAACAAGTGAAAACGAGAATAGCAATCGGAGTCGCTACAACGCGGCGTCAAGGGGACTGCCAGGTGGAGGCAGCGGATTCAGTGATGACAGCCCATTCAGCCGCAACTCGCGCTTGATGTAGGGCGTGGCTGCATTATGTCGCGGGCATTCGTGGCGGTGCTAAATGTGCACGCCGAGGGATGGATAGTCGCTGGTAGGGGTACATGTTTAGGCTTGGATAACGATGCGTAAAACGAGGAGTGTTGTAGTTTTACATGGTGAGTGGCCCCGTTGCTCACCTCATTGTTTCTTTGCCGTAACACGTCATTTCTGTGTCGTCAATCATTTTCCACTGAGATTTGCAAGGTCTACAAAAACGTTTAGATTTTAGAACGGTCTAAAAACTTTCCAAATCTGTACGAAACCGGTAATTTTCAGTCCCATCCGGTATCTTCAGATTTCACATTGGTTACCCGGGCCCCGGGTCAAGCCCGTTGGTCCCGGGGGGGGGGGGGGGTCGCAGTTCGTAAGAAAGGTTAATTGTGGTGTACTAGTTGCGTCTACCGTAGCTGTGGTGTATTGTGTGCTAGCTGCAGTAAGCGAGCATACGCACCATTACAAGACGCGGGTCTAGAACTCACAAAAGAGGAACCGAAGTAAGTAGGTTAATTTGTACTTTTCCGAAATTTAAAATGAACGCTAACTTGATCTCCTGGCATAGCTACATTGAAGACAGTGAAAGCGTAAGCATATTCTTAAACCCTGTAAAAGTGAAATACGGTACGATCAAAGGTCCGACCCGACTCAAATAAAAATGACCACCGTAGCAAGTTACCCGCGTATGATTAAATTTTACTTGTTACTAAGCACACTCAAATACATATCCCACCTAGGTGGTTTGTCGGTCCTTCGCTTGGTAGTAAGGTGATAACAATGCATGACGGAAACTTTAACTCGACCAGGTGCAGACATGTTCCCGACAGGAAATCCACGCAGTACTTGTGCTCCTCTCGGTTAGTGGCTTTTGGCGCGAAGATATAAATCAGTCTTGCGTTATTAATATCTATTAGAGAGCTTTCGCAGCCAGTCCTAATCCGAATCGTACTTAATGATGACTTTATCGGAGTCACTGGCCGTACACTTTGGGTGAGAACGTTTGGGTGAGCATGGTTTCCTCGCAGTAAGCTTACCAGGTGACGCAAGTGGAATCGACGTTATATCGAGCTGTTCAATGCGCATTCAATTGTCGTAACCGAGATGTAGTTAAATGATCATCACAGCAACAACCATGTGGGGCAACTAGATTTCTTTATTTTCCAAATGACATAAAATCACAAGCGACTTGGGCGCGCCTCACTTGCGGCGCACCAGTCGCAATAATAAAATTTCTTCTCTGAGCTTACGTTAATACTAGAACATATTGAGAAAGTCTTGCGTTCTTTGAGTTCGGTCACACGACGCGCCTGCACAGGATCGAGGTTCGCAGCGAGTAGGTTACTTCGAAGTATCTTGCAGTCGGGCACCTTTACGCACGTGCTGGTAGGCCCTTCCAGCGTGACTTTGTCTTTCGGGGCGTCCTTGAGATCGTGATACAGAGTCTTGACCTTTTCCAGCAGCGAAGGCTTCGATCATGCCCTGACAAGCATTAAGCTTTGACGCTGTAAGAGGAGTTGTCGATACCACAGCAATTATACACATTCGTGCTGCACGTAGCTGTGGCCCGATTGGGCCTTATCTAGCTACTTCTTGCATATGAATCACCCCCTATAGCACCAGCACGCCCAGCGCAGTACAACCAGTTAAAACAAAGTTAAGGCCAAGTTTCGCCATTAATCATGGGAGTACCTGAAGACTCAAGCACAGGTTGCTGCTGCTTCTTGTCGTTATGCGAGCATCCAGTTCATGTCCGTTCTCCGGTTTAGTAAATTCGAAAATGGCATTAAGCGAGCCGGCCCCGCTCGGGTCAGGAACATCATGGTCTGTACCTCCATTTAAAGGCCTTCTGGCCTATGCCTTTACTCTTTGTCCCCTCAGGGGACTCCCCTGAGTTATGTGTCCAACACTAGTTAATCCGCATACAAATGCTTAGATTTCTTAGGTTAGGGCTTCGCGAAGGCTGGGATAGATAGGTACATGATAACATTGGTTAGAATCATGAAAGCCACTTCATCGGGTGCGCTTACTCGTCAATTGTGCAGTGGTAAAGTGGCCTTCTATTTGAGCTTAATTCTCTAACCTATAGAAGCCTGATACTCGTCGATTGTGCAGTAGATGGGACCCCTAATCAAAAAGCTCGCATGAGAAGATATTGGTCAAATTATACTGGGATAGGAAGCGACGGAGTGCTGATAGCCCAGCCCACACAGGATTAATTCGGGCGCTCCAATCGACGCCGGTGATGAACCGGTAACATGTCTTAGGTCAATTTACAGTAAGTGATGTCGATTGACCGAGCGTTTTAGACTTCTCAAGAATGATGGAGGCTGGTCCAGTTCATTTGCGAATTCGTCGAGTTGAGATTCGTTTTATTGATTTTGCTCTAAAATCGGTTGTACGTCGTGACCATAGTGGTGATACATTGTCGGGCAGATTTTGCAGCTGCGAAGCAGGCGCACGAGATGCCCGTGGAGCGTGCGGATTGAGTTTATCAATGGCGGTCAAAGGTGAGCTAACCAGTCCTATCCCAGCCTTCGCGATGCTCTAGTCAAAAGGTACCTCAATAACGTACGGGCCATTTTTGTATACATTCGAATGACTTACTGTTGTATCGGGTCGACTTATACTGGGATAGGAAGCGACGAAGTGTCGATAGCCCAGCCCAAACCAACAGTAAGTCATTCGAATGTGTACAAAATCCAAGATACCGCAATTCGCATGCTGAGAGCTGCACCCGCTTATGAGATGCACCTACATCCTCCAATCATATGAAGCGATCTACATATTTTTATCCAATCAGACCAATTATAATACCCGGCAAATAAGATATAACCACAATATTACAGTTGTGACTTATACAACATGAAGAATTTTGTATATGATACTTTTAAGTACGAATACAGATCAACATTACCGGAGTGGACATAGGGTGCAGCTCTCTACATGCGAATTGCGGTATTTGATTTCAATGCAAAAGTCAAGTAAATAATTCTGGCGATACCGGTATCTGACATCAAACAGGACAGTTCTTTCGAACTGCGAATTTCACATTAAATTGACTACCCGGTCTAAACTCCCAGGAAGATAATGCGTGTGAATTCTGCCGAGCTTCAACTCGCCGCCAGTCGACGCGATCACATCGGGCCGCGGACCGCGGGCGGAGATGGAGCGCATCTACTCGGCCTTCTTCACGTCGGAGCGGCGCCGCGAGCCGCAGGAGCTCACGGCCGCGGCGCTGGAGCTGCACAACGAGACGCAGAAGGCGCACAAGCCGCTGCTGCCGCGCCCCGGAGCAGACGGAGGCAGGCGACGGCCCGACGCCGATGCAGACGAATCCATGGCCGACGCCAAGCGCCACGCCGCTGCCAGACGCCAGGACCTCCAGCAACTGACGATGGACTGGGCCAGCGTCAAGAAGGATCTCGAGGCGGCGTGCCAAGCGGCGGCGAGAGCGTTCCTGTTGGCCTACGGAGCTAAAGCCTTCACTGCCGTGCTCCTGGCCTCGAGGAAGTGGAGCAGCCTCGAGTACGGCTATGCCGATGCTGCCAGACTGCTGCTTAGAGGCGACACACTCCGCTTCGGGGCTTTCTTCGGGAGCCTGGTGGGGATCTTTCGGGTCACGGAGCTCGTGACTCGAGCTGCTCGAGGTGGACAGCGAGACGCTGTCAACTTGGCAATCGCAGGGGCGGTCTCTGGGTCGGCTCTGCTGCTGGATTCGCCCTCAAGACGCAACACCATCTCGCTGTACATTTTCGTCCGCATGCTGGACGTGGTGTGTCGCCATTTGATGTCGATCGGTGTCTTACCCACGTGGCGTTACTCGTCGGAGATGCTTTTTGCCGCCAGCAATGCCGCCATTATGTATGCGTTTATCGTGGACCCGAGCTTGTTGCCAAAGGTAACTTGCCTCTTCAATTTCACCGTCGTGGCGGGGCACGTAGGTGGGATACTGAATGTGTTTTGCTACTTTGTGTGTGGTCCTACCAGGGCTACTACCAGTGGATCTGCCGCATTGGCGCTGTTAACCACCACGGTCTGGAGTACACCGTGCGCCAGCGTATGCGGGGCCAGCTAGATGCGCACGGAAAACCACTGCCATTTCGCTTGTGTCAACCGCACTACCACATGTACGCATTTGGAGCTGGAAGTCGGCTCGAGCGACGAGACTAACGTTGCTGTGTCCATTAATGGATTAGGGAGTCGTGTGTGACGCACGCCATCAAGGAGTGGATCAATGGCTTGGGACGGTCAATGCAGATTTATCTGCCTGTGCACTTCCTCCCTGCTATGTTCTTCCGCTTCCAGCACCTTCAAGGGGCCCCAGTGTCCACAACTGCGCGTATCTCCTACGCGGCACTTTGCTCGTCAGCATTCCTCACTTCGTACCAGGTCCGTTTGTGTTTGCTGTTAGTTGGCTTGTGACAAGAATACTGACTCCTACGGATCATTGTTGGGGATGCCCTTTCAGACCGTGGTGAAGCTGGTTATTTGCACTGCTCGCAATGCCTTCCACCGAGATTTCGCCGTGACGTCGCTAGCTGCCGGGGTAAGTCACTAACTCGTCTTGCGTCGGTCCACATCTGCTGAACTAATGGGTGTGCGTGTACTGATCAGCTTGCAACGGGTGGCGCGCTGTTCTTTGAGCACACTAAGCGCCGCTTTGAGCTGATGCTGTACTGCTTCCCACGCGCGCTCGACATCGTGTGGCAACTTTTGAAACGCCGCGGTCTCGTGCGCTACGTGAAGCACAGCGAGGTGGTATTATTCTGCCTCTCGATGTCGCTCATTATGTCGAGCCCAGCCCGCCATTTCAAGCCGACGTACCTTCGGATTCTGCGATTCATTTTTGGCGGAGACATCATCTAAAGGATTGTTTTTAAAAAGGCTTGATGCACGAAGCTTGTTGCCGATAGTTTTGATGATTTCACGCATTCCGACTTTCATTTGAACATTAGCACTAACTCGCGCAACTTTTAGTAGTACTCCAAGTCGTTGAGCACGAACAACTCAAGCATTTGCTTGGCCTTCTCAGGCTGGTCCATAGGCACGAGATGGCCTGCCCCCTTCACAGTCACGTACGAAATTCCCTCGAAAGCCTCCACAAAGCCACCCGTTTGCTTCGAGTCTTTCTCACCATAAGTCCAGACCGACCGCGGCGCCACGCGGGGAAGACCCAGCGACTCCACTGCCCACAGCCCGCCAACAGCATTGCAGACCAAGTCTGCGTCGCCGTGATAGATCACACCTTTCACTCCGCTTTTAAGCAATTCGCGCCATAACGGCGTCACCTCAGTGTTCAGGGTCGGCGTGTACTTCAACATCTGGGGGTGCTGCAGCATGGGGTGATCGACACCGAGGATGGAGCCTAGCGTTTCCATAGTTGCAGTGGTCAACGCGTCGCCGCTCCAGTGTGCTAGCGCTGGGTTAGCATGCATCGCGTCGCGAACCTCAGCCAAATTGAAGTAAGATTCGAGGTGCTTCGTGTCCAGGCACAAATCCATCGTGTTTCCAATCGGGTGCGGCAGCTTGCCCGGAGTCGACGGCGTTAAGATCTCCTTCACCAGGCGTTGAATATCCTCCTTAGGCGAGCCAGCACACGAGCTGTAGACGTCGTACATATTGATGCGGTCATAGACCAGCGTTGAAAAAACGTTCATGGTGGCGGTCGTGCACTCCGAGCTTGCGTCACCCAGGCCAGGAGCGACAAGGGTGCTCTTCTCAAACTCGTGGAGGTCGGGACAGCTAGCTCGGTATTTCTGATACTGATCTGTGCTGAGGAGTCCGTGGTAGTACGCAGACATTACAGTCGAGAGTCCCATATACTCGTTCACGCCATTCCCCACCACGAACTTCTTCAGGTTAATGCGCTTCGCCTTCTCAGTCGTAGCTGCGTTTCCATTGACAATGGCCAGCGCCGTAGTCGGCACATAAATTCCACCGTAACTCTCCCCCGACACAACAAAGTCGTTCTCTCTTAGCCACGGGAACCTCCCAAAGAACTTCTGCAGGGCGTCGTACAGATCCTGAGCCTGCGAGAGGTCATCGGCTTCGTAGACCCCACTGGAGTTGTAGCTAAATCCGACGCCCACCGGCGACTCGATGCACAGCAGATTGGCGCGTTGGTTCCATGCAAACTTGTTGGCACGGAGCGTTTTGCCGTCCATATTGACCAGCAGCGGCCCGTTCTCCGAGAAGCAGCCGGACAGCGAGCTGGATCCCGGTCCTCCATTGAGCCACAGCAGCACGGGGTCCGTCTGGGGCGTGGAGCTCTGCGACTCGGCCAGGAAGTAGAAGGCGTGACCCCCGTTGTTCAGCGGCAAGTAGCCCGAGAAGAGCCGCGCGGTGTAGTCGCTGGGCTTGCCCGCCAGCGTCAGGATCTCGTCCGAGAAGCCCGCAAAGGACTCGCGGGGCAGATCGGGCGTCTCCGCGTCGGCCGAGTCCTCCATGACGGTGGGCTCGGGCGTGCGCTCGCCCGTGCGGATGAGGTTCTCGGTCTGCAGCGAGCGCTGGAGCGTGACCATGAGGTCCCCCACGGCCAGGAACAAGAGGCACGCGACGCCGTAGCGGATGAAGCGCCGGCCCGTCGAGGACAGCAGGCGGCGCGAGCGCCCCGCGGCCGGCAGCGTCTGGCGGGAGCGCAGCCCGCGCGTCAGCGGCAGCGTCTCGTTGAGCGGGTCCGAGCGCTGGTACATGGACTCAAACGGTCGATCGTCGATTCTCCCGGTCTGTGGATACAATAGAAGTGATTCAGAAGTGATGCCCAAGCAGCAACTCAGCTGCGATTGGAGGAACTGATTACTGTACGGACGAGGTACCGTGGAATGTATGTTTAGGATTCGTGAACAAAATTATTTTTTTTTATGGTGTTTCGGATGGGCAGCAAGACCGTGCAGTGCACACATCCTCTTGGGACTCGAACAACCGGAGACCGTCGGATCACGACATGCACTTCGGATCACGCCATGCACTTTGGCTCAAAGTTTGGAGATTGGAGCTAGGAGGCCAACAACACAACGTCGTGTGACTATAGGACTTCATTTACATGTACCGTATATTGAGAAGACTTCTGCTTGGAGACGTTGCTGATCTTGAGATCTTCCTCAGCGGCTCAAATTCCGCCGCTGCAGGCTTCTCAACGTCTTGCCACGCAGATGCTCACAGACAGAATTGTACCCGTTGTTCTGGTCAAGAACTTCTTGGTAAAGCAGGCTACATGAAGCAACTTTCAAGCAGCAATGCTTTTTCAGGTTTCTGATAATGCTGTCCTGGAAATCAGATCCAGCAACACTTCGCTTGCTTGGTTGGCTACAGTAGACACAAGAAAATTTTATTGTGCTACCTGGAACTCATACCTTACAGGTGTATCATATCGGATATCGGCTGCACGATTGTATTGCGCGTTCTAGTCGAACTTTCGATTGATTGAATCGACCGAGCCAAATCGCCTGCAAACCGCCCGAGATTTTGATTTGACTTGAGTTTACTATGTAGGCAATAAAGTACGAAATAAGATCGATTCCAAAAGACTTGAAATTTGTATTCAGCGATTTCAACCCATATGGTAAACCGACCCGAATCGGCAATATTGGCCAGAATTCACAATAGTGGAGCGTGCATCTCATCTCACTATTTCCTGTGGTTCTGGTTGCAATTTGACTTTATTACGAGTACTCGTTTCAACTCCCCTGAGACGATCAACGTACGATAATACGCTCGCTCCCCGAATGGACGACGTACTACGCCGTCGCGCGGTCCCAAATGCAAACTACTGACAAGAAAAAGCGGTCGCGAGACCGCAGACGCTACCAACACCTCTGCGGTCGCTTATCCAGGGGGAAGACGCGAAACGTCAACCTCTACGTCGTCAGCTTCGTCCAGAAGCGTACGGGTAGCGCCCTCAAACGTCGAGAGGTCGCCCAGCTTGTCGGTCACACTGGTGCTGCGTGCCATAGCAATGACACCGCTGCGGTGGATCTCCGTGATGCCCAGCGGCTTCAGCAGGTCCAGGAAGGCCTCAATGCGGCCAGGGGTACCGGCCAGCTGCACCATGACCTGGTGCGGTCGCACGTCAATCACCTTGGCGTCAAACAGGTTGGCGAGCTCCACCACCTCGGCACGAGATCCAGCCTCTGCACGTAAGACACAACCAACGTCAGGTCCACGAACAAGATTCCGGCGGTACGGCATCAATATAAGGAGCGTTGAGCGTACCGGCAGTAGACACCTTGGCCAGCATCAGGTCGCGCTCGACGTAATTCTTCTCGGCGTTCTTGCCACTGCTCAAGATGTTGACCACAGCCACGTACACGACGTCCTCCAGCTGCTTCTTCATCTGCACCACCACAAAAAGCCGTAACAACGACGGTCAGCAGCTTGTTCCCCCTCTTTAGCGCTCAAATATCCATGATCCGTACGTTGACAACGCTCTGAGCAGTGCCGTTCACGACCACCGTCATGCGGGAGAGCTCCTCCACCTCCGTACGGCCCACGACGAGACTGTCAATGTTGTATCCTGCATCAAACAAAACACCAGACACCCAGTTCAGCACCTGCCGCCTTCATTGGGGCGATTGGATCCTAAAGATCCTTGCGTGTCGACCCTTACCTCGGGCGGCGAAGAGGTTGGCGATCTCGGCCAGGCAGCCAGGCTGGTTGACCACCAGCGCGGCGATCACGTGGCGCTGGCTCTGCTCCGCCACGCTCAGCGCGCGCGAGAAGAACTTGGGGGCGGCGCAGGACGGCGCGACGGCGGCCGCAGAGCGCGGGAAGGCGCGGCGCGCCAACGGGAGCAAAGATCTCCGCAGCATCTCGTCGAATGTCGAATGTGACGTCTGAACATCGTGGTCCCAGGTTCTACGTCGGGTGGCTGTGGCGTCCCGGCTTTTCCACCAATGAGGCCCCTGTTTTTTGCTTGTTATATTATTCCCCCTTGGAGGAATTGCCCCGTTGTGGCGCTTACCGATAAGAACGTCCCCGCGAAGGGAAAATTCCGGGCCGGGATACCGCGCCCCCGTTCTTTGTGGCTGATGTGGAAGATGCCACAACTGAACCTCGTTGTGGCATCTTCCACATCGGGAAATCAGTGACGAGGCGCATTTTAAGCGGGCTTAGATTTTGTTAAGCCCACGTTGAAGAAGGTGTGGACTACTTTGTGGACTTACGAACTTCCAGCTACCATGTCAACGCGTGTCACTCAGGCTGAGCTGAGGACGCTCGAGCGGGCGTTCAAGGTAAACGATCTGCGCTTCGACTGCAACGTTACGTGGGTCAGCCTCAGTGCGGTGTACTCGATCATCCGCATCTCGGACAACAGGGTCACTCTCGCTAGCGTTCTGGATGAGTTCTTTGGAGGTATCTACCGCGCCCACGGCACGGATGTGAAGAGAGTTTCGGACGAGCGCTTCGCGGAGTACGAGGGTAGGCCGTTCAGCGTGTGTTTTGCCGACCTCCTTGAGGTCGTGTGCGGGAATGAAGACACGCGAGCGGCGTACAATACCCAGGTATCGAACGTGACCTGGGAACCGCAGTCGGCAAACCACGTCGAGATGCATTTGTTCGTCTCCACATGTGCTACACGAACAAGTGCGGTCGTCGCCCCCAGTATGCCCTCGAGAAGATATGGGCCCATGTGTTGCAGTGTGACTTGGCAGTCAAATCGGCCATCGAGGTGTACAAACCGGGTATGTCTGATCCCCTAGAGGTAGTCTAGTCTATTTGACGCCCGTGGACGACGACGACCCGATCATTTCCCCCCCCCCCCCCCCCCCGCCAGAAAAAGTCAAGGTTTTTTCAGCGACGACTACGACTGGATCCCGGATGGCATTTGTGGGATGTATCTCATTGATGGAGGCACTACTGGGAACTATCTTCTCGATGAACCTGGGATGTTCTGCGTTGAGAAGCTGGGAATGTCAGATGAGTTTCGGCTACACGATAGGGTGAAAGACCAGTGCTCCTTATCCTTTTTGGGGCACTATCTCAAGGCAGAAAGCCGGAAGCCCGGGGTACTATGCGTTGTGCAGATCGATAAGGCTTTTGTCGAGGCAGCAGAGACAGCATTTCGGTAACGGGTGGGTAAACGCAACCTCGGCTGGATCTACTCGGATGCGACCGATCACGACAAGAAAGAGTTGATCCGGTGCGTTCCTCAGCAAGTGCCGCTCGTTAGAGCCCACTTTCTTGACGTAGCCAAAAAGTATCATGCTCGTGTGCAATCCTACAATGAGCCACCCAGAGTCTCCATCCCTATTGCCCGGCCCGTTCGGACGTATGATCCCACCGACATCGACGTACGGAATGAGAGAGAGACGAACGACATTGTGGACTTAGTGGTGAAGTACCACACACGGTTCCCTACACGCGGTTATATGTTCTTTAGCGGATGCTTGAACAAGAGCGCGCGATCCCGCTTCGTACCGCGTGCTCCCGGCTCGGAATTCAAATGCAATCCAGAGCGTACACTGGGCCAGTGAACAAGAAGGGATATATGAGACCGCGTCGAACAAAAAGATACTAATCAACCAAAGTACGAATTGGGATTTAGGTACCTCGTTGGAAAGAGGGGCGTCTTAGCTATCTTTTGAGGCCCTCCACAACTTTCTAACAGTTAGATTAGCCAAAGATATGACCCCGCGAAAAATTATCTCCCGTCCCAGAGCAAAATTAAGATTTTTTTTATTGGCTACCCTGGTGTAAAATTGTACAGCGGATTCAATGATACCCTTCGTTTCTTCAAATTCGCATTGAAATAGTCTTAAAACTTCACTTTCGTGCGATGTTTCACATTAGTGACACATGCTGTCAATTGATATCATTTTGGATTAGCATGGACATAAGTATCACATTGATTGATCAGCTGGGCTAGACGACGTACATTGCTACACTTTTGAACTAACCAGAGACTGCAGCTCTTGAGCCTTTCCCTGAAGGCAGCGACGCTCACACTTATCAGCTCTGATAAGGCCTGCCACCTTCTGGTGAATATCAACCTCGATCAAATTGATACTTATATCCTCCTCGGCTTGCTCATCGTCTTCGATTCCCTCGCTGTCCCCCGTCACCTCTCTATCCTCTTCAGCTGGCTCGGCCGTGCTCCAATCTTCATCATCATTGCTTTCATCAGGCTTCTCGCTCTCAGACGAGACGTCGCTGGCGGCATGTGCCGCAACGTGCGGGGAGGTCACGCGGGGTCGATATTTCTGGTTACGCTGCCGATCGGTTCGAGAAGGCGTGCACGCCGGTGATTCGTGCAGCTCGGAGGCACTCTCCTCCTGCTGCGGATCGGAGGTGCGCGCAAGCTGCTGCCCAGAAGCTGCCGAAGCGTGCTGATCGGGCGCGTACGGCGTATGCTGCTCGGGAGGAGGGGGGTGTTGACAGGGAGGGGACGAGGGCGGCTCCGAGGCACCAACGGACTGTGGCGCGAGAGCGCCGGAAGCCTGTGTGCCGGCGGGCGACGACTCGGGGCCGCTGGAGGTCTGCGATGGCAGCTTGGAGGTCGAGCGGTGGGCTTCCATGTCGGCGGTGGTGTAGATCTTCTTTGAGAGTGAGGTGTTGAGGGAGCGTTCGCTTTAGTGACAGTTCAGGTTTTCAAATCACAAATTGGGCCCTTTCTCGAAACTTCACTTAGATACGAAAAATAGCAGCCAATTTTCAAGCGCGATTATCTCGATACAGTCAAACCTGTTTACATGATCCTCTCTATTTGAGCCATGCCGTTTATTTGATGCAGGCTTTGTCGCTACCAAATATTTCACTTAGTTTTTGTATGATCTCTGTTTATATGCATACAAGGTATATGAGTCACATTTTTTTGGACCAAATTAGGTCTCACCTGTTTATTTGATTCACAGTGCTCACGGCCACACACTCTTCAAAGCACCACTGCTCAACACTCAACGCCTACCGCAAGCCTTCTTCGCTCGCCATGTCTCCTCGCACCTGACTGACGCTAGAACAAAAGCTCCAAGTGCACCTAAAGCTCAAGCAGAATCCTGGCATGAACAACCCCATGCTCGCCGAGTGGATCTACGCAACTTTCAAGGCCCGGTCCAGCCGTGCCACTGCGCAACCTGCCTTCTTCCTACTTCAGCCACGTCGACCTGAGTGCGACCAAGCGGCGGCGAGTGAAATTCCCTCAGTTCGAGCGGGAACTGAGGGAATTTTTCTTTCAGAACGAAGCTAAAACGGCGATGGCGGACGACGTGCTCCTGCTGAAGGCGCATGAGCTGGCGGAGCGCTTAGGCATCGATGCCACGCAGCTCCGGCTCAGCAACGGCTGGCTTCCAAGCTTTAAGAAGCGCAATGGGATCCGCTCCCATACGCTACACGGCGAAGGTGGCGCTGTAGAAGCTGATGAAGTGCGAGATGCGAGGCTAGAGCTACAAGAGTTGGTGGCGCAGTTTACACCCGAGAATGTGTTCAACTTCGACGAAACGGCGTTTTTCTATCGCTTAGAGCCTAATCGAACGCTAGCTACGACTATTCGCAAGGGCAAGAAAAAGGAGAAGCAACGTTTGACTTTGGCCTTCTGCTGCAACGCGACTGGCTCCGACAAGCTGGACCCAATAGTCATCGGTACGGCCAAGAACCCGAGGTGCTTTAAAAAGGGAGCGGCGATTAAAGGTAAACCTATATTGTACAAGTCCTCCAAGAACGCCTGGATGACATCCGTCATTTTTGACGAATGGCTGCACCTCTTCAACATGAGAATGGCGGCCGCCAATCGCAAGGTCCTACTTCTAGTCGACAATGCTTCATGCCACAAGATCCTACGAAACCTGACTCATGTGACTGTTCACTTCCTCCCTCCTAACATGACATCCGCCGTACAGCCGCTGGATGCAGGTAAATATTTTATCTATATTGTGGTGTAGCCTAAACGAACCAACTCTATTACGGTGTTTTTTTTATTCAGGTATTATCGGGTCGTTCAAGGCTTGGTACCGAAAGTATTTTGGGCAGTGGTGTTTGGATGCACTTGAAGCTAACATTACACGCAAGCTCAACGTACTGGAAGCTGTCCAATTCTCCATTGATGCTTGGGCGGGTGTGACGCCAACGACAATTACAAATTTCTGGGTCAAGACTCGCATTTTGGGAGGAAAGATGCTAGGAAGAACCCGTGCTGACACGGATTACATTGAGGAGGTATCCAGCAACGAGATGGAGGAGTTAACGGCGATGCTATCGAGGTGGGAGGGTGCTGTTAGCGCTAGTGAGTATCTGGCAGTGGACGAAGACGTTCCTGTGCACGAGCCAGATGTGCTAGTGGACGAAGCGGCAGGAAGTGATGCAGTTTCGCAGGACGAGCAGGAGGAAGAGGAGGAACAGGAACCCGCAGTTCAACCTGCCATTGCTCTGAGACACTGCATAGAGCTGGCTGCATTTCTGCTGCAATGCGGAGAGCAGACTGACAGAGAACGAAGAGCTTTACAGACCGTTACCGCTTTGGTTCGAGAGACTACGGTGAAGGCAAAGCGGCAGCGAACTATGCACGATTTCTTTACGTGCACCACATAATTTTTTTAACTGAGTCCATTTTATATGAGTCATTGTAGTAGATAGATGGTCACCAACAGGGCCTCATATAAACAGGTTTGACTGTAACTCTAAATGGTGGATTAGTATCATTTTGTTCGAGGCAGTCTCATATCGACGCGTTGTGGTCTTGGCTTCAGCGGCGCAAAACGCCAACTCCCCAATGAGAGACAGCATTTCAAAGACAGGCACGTTGGCGCTGGCCTGGACGCTGCTGGGCTGGGCGTGCAGTGGCGCATCGGAGGCTGTTCTCGCGGCTGCTACGGCTCCTGCTCGCCATGAACTCGTGTACGACCCCGACACCGCCGTGTTCGCCGACCTCAGGAGCCCGGTAGAGGCCCCAAACGACTCTAATGGCGCGGATGTCGACGCCCTGCTGACCAACATGACGATCCGCCAGAAGGTGGCGCAAATGACGCAGATGGATATCTATTCCATGATGGACGGGGACGAGCGAGACCCGAAGAAGGCTCTGAGACGCGAGGTGGTGGCTCGGTATGCTCGCGCGGGTGTGGGCTCCATCCTCAACAGCCCATTCGCAGGGGGTCCCGTCGGCGGACGCACTGGGTGGAGCGCCAGCGAGTGGAGATCGGTGATACAACAGATCCACCAGATCTACAAGGAAGAGGGGGCTACGGTGCCCATGCTTTACGGGGTGGACACCATCCATGGCGCCACGTACGTGCAGGGGGCGACACTGTTCGGCCAGCCCATCAGTGCTGCCGCCTCGTTCAACCCCGAGCTGGTGTACCGCATGGGTGCTGTGGCTGCGAAAGACACGCTGAGTGCAGGCATCCCGTGGATCTTTAGCCCTGTTTTGGGTATTGCAGTGCAGCCAAAGTGGTCGCGCGTGTACGAGACGTTTGGGGAAGACCCACTGGTATCATCCGTCATGGGGGCGGCACTTATCAAAGGCCTGCAGAGTTCGGGCAAGGTGGCGGCTTGCATGAAGCACTTTATTGGCTACTCAAATGTCCGCGAGGGATTGGATCGCGCGGACAACGTCATTAGTGACTGGGAGCTTGTCAATTACTACGCTCCGCCGTTCCTTGCTGCAGTCCAAGCTGGTGTACGCACCGCTATGGAGAGCTACGTGTCGGTGAACGGAGTCCCTGTGATCGCCAGCAAAAAGCTACTGGTTGACTTGCTGCGACACGATATGAATTTCACAGGTCTGTTGGTGTCGGACTACAGCGAGGTTGATCGCATGTACTCGGAGCACCATTTAGTGCCGAGTGTGGCGGATGCCGTTCGTGTTACTTTGCAAAAGACGTCTCTCGACATGAACATGTCACCGGACTTGCAGGCTTTTGGAGATACGATCGAGTCGCTGGTTGCGCAGGGGCTAATTACTGAGAGCCGCCTCGACGACTCTGTCCGACGCATTCTGGAGACCAAGCGAGACCTCGGGCTGCTTGACTCGAACTACTATGAAGACTTCAGCCAGGACGATACGGATGCTGACGAAGATGTCGGCAGCTCAGCCGACCAGCAGGACGCTCTGAAGCTAGCGCAGGAGTCCGTGATCTTGCTTGAGAATCGCAATGGTGCACTACCTATTGACCTGGACAAGACTACCAGCGTGTTTGTCACCGGCCCGGCCTCGGACAACAAAGGCTTTCAATGCGGTGGGTGGTCCGTCTTCTGGCAAGGATCCGGCGACTCGACCCTTTTCCCGAACGGTGCCACTTTCAAGGAAGCCGTCCATGGGCATGCGCAGGTTGAGCACCTTGAGGTGGTGGACATAGATGGCAATGTGAACCCCCAAGACTTCCAGCGCGGGATGCAGCTTGCTGCCAAGAGCGACTACACTCTGGTCGTACTGGGCGAGCGCAACTACGCCGAGAAAACTGGCGACTTGCTTGGCAGTATGGCGCTACCCGCTGGGCAGTTGTGGTATCTCGAAGAGCTCACAAGGCTCAACTCTACGAAGGTGATTGTCGTGCTGATCTCAGGTCGTCCTCGTTTGCTGGAGGGGGCCCACGACCACGCCGACGCTGTCATCTTGAGCATGTTACCTTGCGAGCAAGGTGGCCAAGCCCTCGCCGACGTGATTTTCGGCGAGGTGAACCCGTCCGCGCGGTTGCCCATTACCTATCCAGCTCGCGGCACGCAGCTACTGCCGTACTTCCACCGGGTGAACACGCGATGCCAGCCGTACGACGAGTGTCCGGTGCAGTGGGAGTTCGGCCACGGTCTCAGCTACAGCAAGTTTGAGTATTCGGCGCTTCGGCTCAACGCGACGCAGGTGCACGCCACATCGGGCGCGTTGGAGGTCATCGTCACGGTGACGAACCTCGGCTCTCGCCCGGGCAAGGAGGTCGTGCTGCTGTTTGTTGCGCAGAAGTTCCGTCGGGCGTCGGTGCCCGAGACGAAGCTGCTCAAGGCGTTCAAGAAGCTGGAGACGCTGGCGTCCGGGGCCAGCCAGGACGTCACGTTCGTGCTCACGCCCGAGCACTGGAGCTACTACGAGCCGCACGTCGTGGGAAGCGGCTTTCAGCGGCGCGCCGAGCCCGGCGAGTTCGTCGTCTCGCTGCTGCCCTCGTCCACGGACAGCTCAACGCAGCCGCGGGCGATACCCTCCCCAGACGACGCTGAAAGATCCAGCCAGACGAAGACTCGCGGCGCGCCGGGCGGCATAGCCTCGGACTCGGAGGCGCCGGGCCCGGCAACGGCGCCACCAAGCGTTTCGTTCTATGTGGTACCATAGTGAGCGTAGCGCGAATCGGCGCTGGTGGCTGGTTTCGCATAAGTGGTTTCTTGCGTGGCATTTCAGACGCGGCGGCGGCCGGCCTCGTGGCCGCTTTGGCTCGAGCACGGACGTGCGCCTCGCCTCAGGGCCGCAGCCTGCAGCAGAAGCGCCGCAGCGATGGATGACTCTGCTTTTAGAGGCCTGAAGCTACCGGGCTCTTCTCGTCATTTACAATAAGAAATGTGTGTGCACAGCCCGCGTCTTTGCCGCTCCGGTATTCCGCCGCTATAAATGCTGCTGCGGGGCTTGGCCTCGACATGGGGCTGGCGGCCGCGATAAGATCGCGCCGTTGGGCCGCTGCGGACCCATTATTGCCGCAACGGCCGCAGTGACCCAAAGCCAGCTCCTCCCACTCTCCCGCTCCGAGCCCATACACAGTCATAGAACAATCTGCTTTTAGCCACGCACCGCGCACTCACTCACGGTAACAGATCGCCTCTGAGCGCGGGCAGAGATCTCAACGCCTTGACAACGCCGAGCTGGCCAGTGACCTCCTCCGTCCAGCAGCCCCGCCCGGACACACGCGCGCTCTCTTTAAGTCGGCTATCGAGCAGCGCCGTCGCCAAACGACAGCGCGGGCAGGCAGAAAACAGAAAGAAACGAACCTGCGAGGAAAGGCGCGGCAAGCCCGCTGGAATCGCGGCGGAAGGCACGGCATTAAGCGATCTCCGTGGCGCCAGGAACTAACGACCCGCGGCGAATAAGACAATCACAGGCAGGCAGGCCGGCCGTGCGCAAGGGATCACTCTCACTTGTCAATTGGCCACGAGCGCGCTGTCCGCCGATCACCACTCCGCCGTCTGCTACGTCGCTGCTGGCATGACGCAACGCGAGCTGTCCTCGCTCATGGCGGGCGCTGCCGGCTACACGGAAGCACAATTGGTGGTGCTCGTGCTGAGCGTCGTGGTGGTGGCCGTGGCTCTGCTGTCCTACTTTGTGGTGGCGCCCGAGTACGAGAAGCACCTCGACAAGCAGTACGCGGCGCTCGTGCACGCCTCCTCGGAGCGGCAGCTGCACAACCAACAGGCGCACGAGCTGCTGCTCGCACGCATCAAGCTGCGCAAGCACAAGTCGCTCGGCGCCTGGGACATCGAGTCCGGCTCCAGCGACGACGACGGGTTCGGGCACTGCTCATTGCAGCGACGCCACTCGCACATGCGGCCGCCCCCGGCCAGCATCTCGTCGCCGCGCGACATGATCATCGAGGCGGCGCAGGTCGCGCGTAGGGAGCGCAACGCCCGGCGCCGCAAGAGCGAGAGCGACGCGCTCAAGCAAGCCAACATCCAGCGAGCAGACATGCTGCGTCGCCGAGTCCTGCTGCGGAAGCTAGAGGAGGAGATCGCTGGCACCGTCAAGGCGAACGAAGAGGCCCAAGCCGCCGAGACCAGCAAGAACCCGACCCTGGCGACTGTACGACGACTCTCGAACAACACGCTCGACCTGAGCGACGACCGCCTCAAAATGCTTCAGGAGCACCCAGCTGATTGCGTTGAAGAGCTGAAAGTGCTCGCCCAAGCGCAGTCGCCTGCAGCCTCGTCACCTCTGGTCGACAACTCAGCGATGGCCAAGGGCAAGGTCGACAGCCCACCGGACCTCCTCGAAGTAAAGCGTGCCTTGAACGTGCTGCACGACGTGCTGAGCTTCTACTTGTCGGTGGACCACCGCGACATGAACAAGCTCACGGTGTTCTGCAACTCGCTGCTGCAGCACGACGGTCTCAACCGACTGCGAGCGTTCGAGGCCTCACGCGACCAGGACGTGCGAGCGCTGTCGAACTCCATCATCGAGAAGGCTGTGCCCGCCATTTGGCACTAAGGACGGGACGCGCTTCCTTCGTCTATTATCTATGAACGCCCGTTTTCGCCGACGCTGTAGAGCTCAAAGTAGCAGTAAGTAAGTAAGTAAGTAAATAGCTCCGTCGGTAAGCTAGCACGCCTAAACATCAATAACTATCCCCCCATGTGTCGATGCGGTGTTCAAAATTCATACTTGTCATTGTCATTAGCGTCCGCCGCCGCCTACTTCTGCTGGAAAGACGCCGCAATCTCCTGCAACGATCGCGACATCACCGCACGAAGCACCATGCGCGAGATAGACCCGCCACAGAGCAGCACTCTGCCGGCGGCGGAAGGCGTGAGCTTGGAGTTCCACAGGATCAGCGTCTTGGGCTGCGCGGGGGCGACCACCGTGCTGTCCGCCAGGAACTGCACGAAGCCGACGTGGTCGCTCAGCAGCAGCGGGCCGCTCTTCTTGATGCTGTAGCGCACGCTTGGGATCCGGTCAGAGCCATCAGGTGGGCCCGCTGACACGATCTGCTCTTCGACGCCGAGCGAGACGAGCCGGCGGTGACCCACGAGGCCGCGGCCCTCGCCGGGCTTGAGCGTCGAGCCGCGGTCCACCCACTCCATGCGCATCCACGCGTCGTACGCCTCGTCCACCGACGCGTTCACCAGCTGCGAGAGCGCCAGCTCCTGGCCGTCGTTCTCCTCGTAGGCCTCGAAGCCGGCGGCATCGACGTAGCGGTCCATGGCCTGGTGGAGGGAATTAGGAAGTGAATGCTGTGGTTGGATGTTAATCTGCAAGTTGAAGCAACAATATATTGACGAATGAAATGGCGTCATGATACTCATTTTGTCCAATCGTAGAAGGACGCCACTCAGAAGAGCAATGCTGAAGGGCGAGTGGACTCACTTGTATTTCCAGCCGGGATGGCGCTCTAGCTTTTACGAAGATAGTTCTCGCTACCTATTCCAGATGTCTGTGGGCCTTCGCAGCGGCGCTTGCGGCCAGAGTACTCAAGAAACCCTGCAGCGCCGAACGCAGGACGGCCTTGACCAACCCGCCGCAGCAAAGCAGGTATCCCAGTGTCGTGGGCTCCGTCTTGAGCGACCAGATCACTAGCGTTGCCGGCGTGCTCTCAGGCGACGCCGCCACGTCGACGAACTGCACGAAGGCGAGGTGGTTCTGCAGCGGGAGCAGCCCGAAGTTGCGGATCTTGTAGCAGATCGACGGGATCTTGGAGCGGTCTCGACGGGCAGCAGCCAGACTGGGTCGACCGCCGTCGCTGTCCACTTCCTCGTCAACGGGCAGTCCGACTGAGAGAATCTCTTCCTGGATGACTAGCGGGGCCAGTCGCACGTGACCCACGTAGCCCCGACCTACGCCCTCGTGGAGCTCTGAGCCTCCGGCCAGCCAGATTTCCTCCAGCCACGCGTCGAAGACCTCGGACGGAGACCCAACAACGCACTCGGACACCACCAGCTCCTGGCCTTTGTGGCTCTGGTATTCCTCAAAGGCCTGCACGTCCGCGTAGCGAGTGGGGTCCAGGTGACTTCTGCGGCGCATTCTTCAGCTCAACTTGACACACGAGAACTTATTTTTCTCCTGATATTTAGCCAATAACATTGCGTAGATGGGGCCAATGGAGCCCGACGCCGCGACCGAGACGGCCAGCGTGGGCGGCGCGAAGCTCTCGAGGCCATGCAGCGAGACCAAGTTACCTTTTGGCCGCCTCCTTAGCTAGCGACCGTAAGAACGTTTTTAGCGCTATGCGGAAGATCACACGAACGAGCCCGCCGCAGTGCAGCCAGTTGCACGCCCTCGACATCTCCGTCTTCACCGTCCAGATCACGAGGGTCTTCGGCGTCCTGTCCGCCACATCACTTGCGTCGACGAAGCGCACCATGGCGAGGTGGCTTTCAAGAGGAAACGGACCAGGCTTGCGTACTCGATAGCAGATTGACGGGATCTTGGTATTGCAATCTTCCTGTCCTTGTGCTGGTTCCTCTGGCAGCCCTGCCGATACAACTTCCTCCTCCACGCCGAGGGGGACACGTCGTACGCTACCGACGTATCCGCGACCGGCGCCTTCGTGCACTTGATCCCCACCGGCAAGCCAGACATCGCGAATCCATGCATCGAAAACCGCGGAGGGTGAGCCCTTCACCAACTCAGACACCTCGAATTCCTGGCCAGCGTGACGCTCGTAGGCCTCTACAGCTTGAACGTCGACGTAGCGTTCATCCTGGATGCGTGCTGCGGACTTCATTTGGCCGTCACTTCAATCGCTCTATCGATGATGAACTCGACGAGCTCCGAAAGATGAATATTGAGATTTGCACAGTCGACTGAGTGAAATTGACAGTACACTATGAAACTTGATGTTGGCTACTTCAAAGTCCTTGCCATCAACTCGATCGAGCTTACTGTATTTCATTAGAAACTTACAACTTCATCTTGGCATCGGCGGGATTCAAATAATTTACAGCATCTCCTTGAAGGCATTGCGTTGGCGGCTGGCGTAGATGACACCAATGACGGTGAAGAAGACGGTGGCAACAGCGACAGCGATGCCTAGGATGATCCAGTTATCCGGCGACAGTCCGACAAATTCGACAGCACCACCGCCATCGACCACTGTGTGCGCTGCACCAGCAAGAGCCCCAGTTGGGATTACAGGAAACACGCTTAGCCCACAATTGATCTTCGAGTCCATGGCCAACCGCACGAAGCCCTTCTCTCCCCATGACGAGCCGTACGAGTTCTTGAGAATCCAATAGTCAGTGCCACCGCTTGATCCATAGCCGACGAGTACCAGAGCGTGGTCAATATCTCCGCTGGAAGCGAACTCTCCATCATTGGGGCACGTGTAAACGCCGCCCTTGTAGGCGTCGAAGGAGCCGCCAGAGTTGATCGCTACCGAGATAGGTTGCTTCTGCAGCGCCAGCTTCAGCAGCTCGGTCGGGTCGCTGCTGATATCGCATGATGTCCCCACTACCTGCTCCCACCCAGAAATGCTCGCAGCAGCATCGTCGGCTGACGAGTTGTCGCAAGCTGTTGCAAGCGTAGCGGCAGATGCCTGCGAGGTGTCCTCCTCGTTGTAGGGCAGGTCAAGCTGGCTCAACAAGGACCAGTGCAGCTGAGACGCATCGGCGAAGGCGGCGTGGGTCATGCCTCCGTTGCACCCGTTGTTCTTAGAGCCCCAGATCATCTTGCTCTGCAGCCAAGAAGACCCATCCACGCCACCTTCAGCCCAGCAGTAGTCGAACGTGGCCGTCATCTCCCTCGAGCTGCACTCCAAGAACTGCTGAGGCGACAGCGACTGCGGCGCTGTCCCTGCACTCACTGCCACCGCCGTCTCGATGCTGTCGGCTGCGGCAAAGGCCCAGCAGCTTCCGCACTGGTTCTGACTCTTGACGTCCGTGCAGATGCTGGTGTTGTGCGTGTTGTCCGTCGAGCACCAGTCCAGCGTCTCGCGTAGATCGAGCGTCGAGTTGGCAAGCCGGCGCTGCTCCGTCAGTCGGCGTTGCCGTTGGCGCAGTGCCGCTTGGTGTTCCTGCTCCACAAAGTCTGAGGGCGATAACCTCCTATCGCCGTCATGGTACAAGTGTCTAGAGTTGACGCCCATGGCGTACGAAAAGGCCCAGCCCCGCGCTGCCGCGTGCTGCTCCACCTGCTCCAGGTAGTCGACGTGCGCCTCCATGCGGCGTCTGAACTCGCTCGGACCGGCGTTCATGCCTTCGTCCTGCAAGAACTGCGTCACCATGGCGTGCGAGGACACCGCGACGCCGTCGCGGTCCGCCCACAGGCAACGCGAGCCCTCGCAGCTCAGCAGCGTGCCAAAGGTGGAAGGATCCAGCGCCTGCGCTGCGGTGGCCGACGTCGCCAGCGCGAGCCACTTGGTCCAGGACCGCGCCATGCTCCCGAGTGCTCGCTGCTCGGTTGACCCGCTCCTGCCTGCCTCTATAATGGCGCGCAGGTGGCCGGAGATGGCCGCTGCTCGCGCGGTGGCAGATGTGGAATTGTGATATTGTCGCCTCGTCCGCGGAGGCGTTTGATTGCGGTGGCATACAAACTTCAAGTGTTGGCTGAGTCAACCGACCCTATTTTGCAGTGAAGCAAATGGACCGAGCAGCAGCCGTCGCCGGGTGCACAACCATCGGTTGCTGTCCATGGGACTCCATCGCCTCGCCTCAGCTCGAGATGACCAGACTATTGTGGGAAGCTTTGGGACGCAGTGCACTTGTTGAAGCATCTCATGATGCATGGGATGTCCGAGCCGCGTCATGTTCACGGTCAAGGTTTTGCATGGCCGAAACCTGGATTCTCAGCCACGCTCACGAACACACGTTGAAAGAGGGTTTGCACCAGCGCGCTGGCTCGCTTCAGCTGGGCTTTCAGTACTTTTTGTCAGGATTTCGTGAAACAACTTGCACAATGCTAGCGTAGCAGTGCTTGCATCTCCTCAACCCAGAGCTCATATTAACGCATCCTGACTAAGTCGCCGCGGGCGTGTTTGATGCCGCGTACATGGCCGAGTTCTGCTCGCGGATGGTCTTGAGCTTCCGGTTCGACACCCCGATGCCGATGGCCGTGGTCACCAGCGTGAAAATAGTAGTCACCGCTGCAACGGCGATCCAAGCCGCTGGGCTGAGCCCAACGAATATCTTGTCGCCGCCGCTGTCAACGCTGGTACTCGCCTGAGCACCGGCCTTGGCGCCGGTGGGGATGACGGGGAACACGTTCAACCCGCAGTTGATCTTGGCATCCGCCACCAGCTTGATGAAGCCGCTGTCGCCCCACGAACTGCCGTACGAGTTCTTGAGGATCCAGTAGTCACCGACCGACGAGTCGCTTCCGTAGCCCACCAGCAGCAGCGCGTGGTTGAGGTCGTTCTTGGACGCCATCTCTCCGTTGTTGGGGCAGTTGTAGAACCCGCCAGCGTACTCGCCGAAGCCGCCGTTCGACGTGATGGCCACAGCAATGGGCTGTTTCTCCAGCGCTGAGCGCAGCAACGTGGTGCAGTTGCTGGAAGTTGTGCAGTCGGCACCCACGATCTGCTCCCAGCCCGTAATGCTCGCGGCAGCCTCATCGGCACTGACGGTGCACACCGATGAAGTGTTGGAAGCTGACGAGCTTCCTGAACTCGAGTCGTCGTACGGCATCGTGAGCTCCGTCACCAGACCCCAGCCGTTCTGGGCCGCGTCTATAAAGGCCCCGTGCGTCATGCCGCCATTGCATCCGTCGTTCTGAGACTCCCACTTGATCTCGGACTGCATCCAAGTGGCGCCGTCCACGCCGCTGTCCGAGGCCCAGCAATATTCAAACGTCTGGGTCGTTTGCAAGGTGCTGCAAGTCAGGAACTGCTGCGGCGATAGGGACACAGCGGCCGACGCGTTCTCCGCGATCACCACGGCCGTCTCAATCGCGTCTGCGGCGACAAAGGACCAGCAGCTACCGCAGCTCTTCTGACTCTTCACAGGAGAGCACACGCTGTGACCCACGGAGTTGTCCGAGTCGCACCAATTCCAATATTCTGAGCTGCCTGAACTCGACACGGTGCTGTTCGTAGTGGCCTGGAGGCGGCGCGAGTACGCGGAGAAGACCTCCTGGTCGACGAATTCCTCGGGCGTTAGCTTGCGCTTGGTGGACGACGTCAAGTGGCGCTCATTCACGCCCATGTGATACGAGAACTCGTGCCCAATATTTTTCGCGTACATACTCACGTCTGCAGAATGCAACTCATATCATAGTGAGAACATTTCCTACGAGTGCGAACAGCAAAACACGCACGCTCTTTATACCTTCGATGTACGTCATGTGCTCCTGCAGGTTGCGTCTATAGGCTTCCCTGTCGCTGTAGGACACATAGTTGTGCTCGATGAGGAGCTCACGCAGAGTGCGCGAGTCCACCACGTCTCCGTTCACGCCTGCCCAGAGGCATGACGAGTCTGCAGAGCGAACGGCTGGGCAGTCGACCAGAGCGCCCAGAGATCGGTCTGTGGACTGGACGGCGGCAGCGACCGCCGCGAAGAGTGCCAGAACTGCTGCATGGATTCGCATTGTTCTGATGTCTGTGGTCTCGGTGGCTAATCCTACACTGTGGGCAGTTGAGGAGGAAGTCCGACACCTCGGAGCTGTTGGTAAAGGCTGGCCAGGTGGTCTTGAGAAAAGCTCGAGATGGTGCTCAACATGTGAGTGCAGGCATGTGAGCCCACAAATTTTAATCCACGTCAACGGGCAGATTCAGCGCAGCGTCAGCCGTAAACATGGGGCTAAGGGCGTAGGCGGAAGAGATTCCTGGCAGCATTCCCTAATTCCGTCGTAGCTGTTCACTGGAGAACTGTGCATGGGGTTCAACTGCAGGCAGCCATCTACACAGGTAACGCCCTTCACTTCTCACCTTCACGCTTCAATGGTTAACACCGCTTTATTCTTTTGGATCAAATAGGAAGGTACATGAGGTCAAAAAGCGCTAATGTCGCCATGACAAAGTGGCCTTCGTGGTCCCGTCGCCATGCGCTGCGAGCCTAGCGCGCCGCCGCTTGGGCGTTGTTCTGGTTACGAGCCGCGTACATTGCCGAGTTCTGCTTACGGATCGTCTTGAGCTTCCGGTTCGACACAAGCATGCCGATGGCCGTCGTCACCACCGTGAAAATAGTCGTCACGGCTGCAACAGCGATCCACGCCGTCGGACTCAAGCCCACGAAGACCTTGTCACCGCCGCTGTCGACGCTGGTACTCGCCGCAGCGCCAGCCGAGGCACCCGTGGGGATGACGGGGAAGATGTTCAGGCCACAGTTCACCTTGGCATCGGCGACCAGCTTCATGAAGCCGCTAGCGCCCCAGGAGCTGCCGTACGAGTTCTTGAGGATCCAGTAATCACCCTCCGTAGCATCCGTGCCGTATCCCACAAGCAGCAGGGCGTGGTTCACGTCATCCTTCGAGGACAGGTCGCCATTGTTGGGGCAGCTGTAGAAGCCACCTGCGTAGTCGCCGAATGGGTCCTCTGAGTTGATGGCGACGGCAATCGGCTGCTTCTCGAGCGCAGACCGAAGCAAGATCGTGCAGTTGCTGGATGCCGTGCAATCCGCGCCGACAACTTGTTCCCAGCCCGTGATGCTGGCAGCCGTTTCGTTAGCGCTCACAGAGCACGCTGACGAAGCATTATTGGACGACGTACTGCTCGAGCCCGAGTCGTCGTAGGGCATCGTGAGCTCCGTCACGAGACCCCACCCGTTCTGCGCGGCATCGATGAAGGCGCCGTGCGTCATGCCACCGTTGCAGCCGTTGTTCTGTGACTCCCACTTGATCTCCGTCTCCATCCAAGTAGCGCCATCCACGCCGTTGTCCGAAGCCCAGCAGTAATCGAAAGTCTGCGTCGTCTCGAGCGTGCTGCACGTCAGGAACTGCTGCGGCGAGAGCGACACAGCCGCCGACGCGTTCTCCGCAATCACCACCGCAGTCTCGATGGCATCCGCAGCGGCGAAGGCCCAGCAACTCCCGCAGTTCTGCTGGCTCTTGACCGAAGAGCACACGCTATAGCCGAACGAGTTGTCCGTGTCGCACCAGTTCCAGTACTCGGAGCTGCCGGAGCTCGACACCGTGATGGTCCCCGTGGCTGTGCTGCCGCTGGCCTCCGTCATGAGGCGACGGGAGCGCGCCGACTTGACTTCCTGGTCCACGAGCTGCTGCGGCGAGAGTCTGCGCCGCGTGGACGACGTCAAGTGATGCTCGTTCACGCCCATGCGATAGGAGAAGTCGTGGCCCACGCTCTTGGAGTACATGAACACGTCTTCGATGTATGTCATGTGCGCCTGCAGGTTGCGGTGCATGGGCTCGCGGTCGCCGAAGGACACGAGGTTGCGCTGGACGAGCAGCTCCCGCAGAGTCTCCGAGGCGACGACCTCGCCGTTCTCGCCCGCCCAGAGGCACGGGGACGCGGCCGAGCGCACGGCAGGACAGTTCACGAGCGCGCCGAGAGAGCGCTCCGTCGTCTGCACACCGGAGGCAGCAGCGCTGGCCGCGGAGAACGCGAAGAGAGACGCCTGGACGCGCATGTCGGAGGAGGGGTTCAAGGGATAATTCGGACTGCACCGCCTCCGCTGTCTCTCTTCCCGGCAGTTGGACACAAATACCCTGAAAAGTGATACCTAGCCCTCTGGATTAAAATAGTTAGACTTCAGAGGATGTTAGCTATATAATCACCCATATTTGAGCTGAGTATGTACAGTACACTACCTTTAAACAATAATTTACCTCTAGTTTGTGGAATCAGCCGTACACACAAGAACAAAGTGAGTCAGGGCATTGAGTTGAGGGCCCTTCATGCCGTGTCAGCATTTGCTTTGATGCTGATACAGTCCACGGGCAATCTCGAAACTATGATATGAGTCACACGGGCGAGCAACCCTGCTGCACTGCAGCCTGCAGAGACATCCACCCCCAACCAAAAATCCAGGACCTGCAAGCGCGTTTGACTTGTTTTGCGGCGTCGCCGGCCGACAGCGAACGCAGTACCAAGGGATTCTCCTGCAACTCGCAATCTCTCTTCGCCAAAGACTCGTAAGAAGAAACATGGACGCACATGGCGGCGTGAATCGGTACCGGTGGCAGGGATAACATACGACGCAAAAGCACGCACAGTACTGAGTCGACAAAAGTTGGATCGGTTTGTCTTGAGCGACTTCTTGCAGCACATAGTAACACCAGGTAGGTACTGTATCGCCATCTTCGCTCGAAGTGGTTTCAAGCATTTGGTGGTGGTCCAGCTGGCGCTCCGTTGCCATCTTTGCAGTCGCGCAGCGGGGGATGGGGCAGTCAACCAAGCAGAGACTGAAGTTGTCATGCGCAGCGACCACAGACAGCAACGCTGGACGCGAGACTCACCTCGGCGCCCATTCCCAGCGCGACTTCGCAAATGAGCTTCGCGCATTGAGACGCTCTCGTCCTGGGTGAGGGTCTATGATGAGTCCGCGCGGCGGGGCAAGGTGTCGGCCATGCATAGAGGCGATGGATCTCGCTTCGCGAAGCGAGTGATTGAATTTTCGCAGCAGATGCGGCTAAAAGCCTGCAGGTTGCCTTGCACTCGTGCCCTGCTGGTCAACAAAGCCAAGCCCATTTCGCTGCTTCGGCCCTGCTGTTCTCTGCACTTTCGACGGTGCAGCGGTTAAACCGGGCGTCGTCACCTCATGGCACTCATGTACGCGGGCAAAGATGCCCGAATCGAATCCACCATGAACAGCAGATCCGATGCGCCCCTCCTCTCCAGCAGGCGGCTGACGGTCCCTGACCACCGCATCCTCCTCGATGATCTCATTCTCGCTTTCGCAGCCCCTCAAGAGCTTTCAGCACCCTAGACGACACCTTTCTTGAAGACAATGGCGACCCAGACCGGCGTGAAGGAAGAGGCCCCGCTGCAGATGAAGGCGGTGATCGAGCCGCAGTGGACGCGTTTCCTCGCGGGTGGCGCGGCGTCGGCAACCGCCGAGCTGCTAACGCTGCCCATCGACATCACGAAGGTGCGGCTGCAGACGCAGCGCTCCGGCCCGACGGCGGGTGGCAAGCCGGCTGTGCACTACAATGGCATGCTCCACGCGGCGCAGACAATGATCAAGCAGGAGGGGCCCGCGTCGCTCTGGAACGGAGCCACGCCCGCGCTGTTGCGTCAGGTGTCGTACACGAGCATCTGCATGGTGCTTTACGAGCCTCTGCGAAACTTCTTCGGAGCCAACGCAGCGCAAGGAGCGAACGGGGAAGTCCCATTCATCAACAAGTTCCTGGCTGGAGGCTGCGCCGGCGCCATTGGTATCAGCATTGCCAACCCGTACGTATCAATGCGGATGACGGCTCCGATGCGTGCTCGCTAACTGTACGGTGCTCGTGGTTGTTTGTATCTGCAGTGTTGATGTGATCAAGGTGCGCATGCAGGCTGACCGCTCGGGCAAGCTTTACCGTGGAGTGGGCGACGCCTTCACGATGATCTACCAGCGAGAAGGACTGCGCGGGTTCCTCCGCGGCATGCCGCCGAACATTCAGCGCGGCTTCATCGTGAACGCTGCCGAGCTGGGCACGTACGACCACAGCAAGGAGCTCCTGATCTCGTCTGGGCTGCTCAAGGAGGGCGTGCTGGCGCATACCGGTGCCAGCTGTGTGGCGGGCTTCGCTGGTGCGGCCGCATCCAACCCGTACGTGCTCTGCTTGCTTCAACTTGGTGCGGTTTGAAGCCGTCGACGTTGACCTTGTGTTTGCTGTGATGGTTTTCGTTATAGCATCGACGTGGTCAAGACCCGGTTGATGAGCCAGCCGACGGACGCGAGCGGCAAGGGTCTGCACTACAAGGGCATGGCGGACTGTGTGCGGAAGACTTTCCAAGAAGGTGGTCTTGGCGCCTTCTACAAGGGCTTTATTCCCAACTGGATGCGCAAGGCGCCGTGGTGCGTCGTGTTCTTCGTCACGTACGAGAAGTACCGTGCGGCGCTCACGCCCAGCGACGAGGAGCTATAGACGCTGGTAGCTAGACTTCCAGCAAGCGCTGCTGGGTCGGTATTCTTAATGGCAAACGAACACGAATGCAGCTTGCGTCGATGCTTTTTGTAATCATGCTGCTGTATATTAACTGTTTGGTTAGTTGCTTGAGGATTCACGCAGAGAGCACCGGCACCATTGACCCACGTCGGCTTATTAATTTAAAGGTTACATGAAGTCACCAAGCGTGTCTGTTGTGGGGAGGGCATGGGCTGGAATGGCGTCCTGGAAGCTTCTCCTTCGCTCCCTTATCGCTGGTGCTGCATGGGTACGACGTCGCTATTATCTTTTCTTGACCACCGCTCGCTACAATGTGTAGGTGGCTCGCGTACATGCCCCCAGCTCAGCCCCCTTGCTTTCTTCTTTTCTTCCCAATGTGCAGTTCCGTTCATGAATTGGAAGTCCGTTCAGCAGTTGAGCTCCTCGAAGTCGTGCATTTGCATGTACCATGTCGAGCGTGGGGGAGTGAGGTAGTGCAAGGTCGAAGATCCCGCAGGCATGTTCTTGACCAGCTTCTCCCGCAGATCAATATACTCGTCCGTCTGCACTACCTTGATCTTCTCGTTGTCCGTGGGGATGGACACCTTGCCGCTCTTGGGTAGCATCACAATGGGCAGCCGTTCGATCACGCGGTCCTCCGTTGACCAGCGGTCGCGCGAGATCACGTGCACGTTCAAATTGGAGAAGGAGCCGTTCATGAACCGGTTGGAGATGGTGCTCTCCACCGACTGCACGGGGGCCTCCTCCTCCTCCTCCTCTTCAGAGCAGTAGTAGGCCGGGCACGTGCGTCGACGGCGCGCGTGGTTGTTGCTGTTCTTGGCGAAAAGCGAGCGGCGGAAGCGGTCGCGCTCCTGTCGCCGGCTCTCCAGCATCTCCTCGCGGGACATGCGCTGTTGGTTGGAGCTTTCGTTAATGGGCGCCACCTGATTGCTGCTGCTGTTGCCGCCACCGAGGAAGCTGCCGTTGCTGCCGACGCTGCCGCGGTTGGTGCGGTTCAGCGCCTTCAACAGCTTCTGCAGCGCCAGGAACGTCTCATCCACCTCCTCGTCCTCGGCGGAGAGGCTAGGGTCGTCGTCCTCGGACGGGCGACCGCCGTACGACGGCATCTTCTTGGACAGTCGGGCGTCTCGCCTCTCGACCGTCGCCATGGCTGTCTGCTGTCTGCTGTAGTGCGGAGTCTGTGGTTGTTGCTGCAGCGAAGAGCGAGACCTCCGGGTCATGCAGCAAAATGTGGTGTGGGTCGCTGTGAGGTGGGAGCTTGTATCTGCGCGCTCCACCGTTCGGTGCTGGCGTGTCTACGGCCGCGAGGGAGGGGGTTCGCTTTGAGAGAGAGCGCTTCTGGCAGCCGCGCCTTCGAGTCGCTACCTGCCTTCTGCTAGTGGACAGCAAAAAGTGATTCTGGGACGCCATCGGGCCCGCCGCCTGCGCTCGTCTTCCACGGTTCATAGACACGTCGGGTACAATCGGATTTTAAGGGGTCTTCAAAACTGAGGCTCTTTTTCGCAAAAGTCGGTGGAATCTTGTCGGAAGATCTGGAAGTTTGTCGCCCTTTGTACCGTGATATGCTGGTACATTGTCGTCCCACCCTGTTTTGATAATCTGTGGATTCGATAATTTCGTTTTCGGCGGAGAAGGCGCTCGCCGGCTGCAATCTATCTTGCGAGAAGCTGGGACTGCGGGCCAGCAGGCTATTCCTGCATGCGGTCTTCGCGGTTGGTGGCGCGCGCTAGCCGGCAACGAACACGTGCGGCATCATCCGGCGAGAAAGTGAAGGTAGGTAGATTGCCGGTGGGAGTAGGGTTGAAACTCGGGATGGCCAGCGTGGCACTGGCTGGCTCTGGCGTAAACTGCTCCGCCTCGGATCTCAGGCGGATTTGCTTGTAAAGCGGGGCGCGTTGGTAACGAGCCGCCGTCCAGGCAGACCAACATGTTCGCCTAGGATGATACATGTATGCCTGGTTGCCTGCCGCCGAGTTGCAGGGCCGCAGACGCTCGATCTCCCGACGGCGCAGCAGATCAGTCCGGAGACCACTTCCGAATGAGCCCCCGCGATGGCTTCGCAGCCGCCGTTGGACCCAGCTCGCTCGCTCGCGGCGTCATCGCCGAAACCTGTCGCAATGGGGAGTCCGACAGCAAGGCGCGCGCAATGCTGCTTGCTTCGCCCGCGGGGATTCAGGCGCGCAGCCTGCCGACAACGAGAGTCTCACACCTTCGCCTGCGAGTCGCAGGCTGCGACGGGACCCGTGCGGGCCGGTGATCTTGAAGCTTTGCTTGCGAGTTGTTTCCCGGCTAAGTGCGACGGCCGTTTTCTGTCCGTGCGTCCATCCAACAGCCGCTTCAACTTCTGCGTAATCCAGCTGTGTGCACCACACCATATCGCTCACTTCAACTCGGCGACCTTTGGGCGGGATACCGGAGCGCTGCATCGCAGCTGCTGGCTCTGCTGCTGTTGCTACCGCCGCCGGGATGGCGGACCTGCTGATGCGCTGGCTCAACCATGAGCTGGAGCTGTCCACGCACGTGACGGACGTGGAGACGGACTTCGCTAGCGGCTACCTGCTGGGCGAGATCCTGCACCGGCTCAACCACCAGCGCAACTTCGCCGACTTCATGCGCAGCTCCAGCGCCGACGCCAAGATCCTCAACTTCTGTCTGCTCGAGCCCACGCTACGCAACCTCAACATCAAGTTCGACGCTAACGCGGCCGCCGCCATCATGAACGAGAAGAAGGACGCCGCCGCCAATCTGCTCTACCAGATCAAGGTGAAGCTTCGTATTAGGCTCTCGCTGGCGATGTTCTCCTTGCCTAAACTGCTCGCTGTGCCGCGTAGATTGCCGCTGCCCGCGTGGGAAGAGCGCCAGCCGTGTCCTCGAAGTCACTGGAGCGCACAGGCATCATCCCGTTGCACAACAGACCGGTGAAGCTAGCGAAACCGAGCTACGACACCGAGAACCACCGGTTGTTTGAGCACTCGGTTCGGCGGCATGTGCGGTCCATAGCATCTCTACAGCAGGAAAAGTGCGGTTGACAATTTCTACTCGGCACGCTGTGCTTGACTAATGCTGATGACGAAATTTTGATGTTTGTCACCGCAGGGACCGGATCGCAGAGGAGGCCACGAAACGAAAAGCCTACTTGGCGAGAATGGCCGAGCAGAAAGAGATTCTGGAGGCCACAAAGGCGGAAAGATTGCATCGTGCGTACATCCATAGCAGCTTTATTAAGGAAGCTCTCGAAGAGACGGACTCACCGGCCTGGAGGCTGGCGCTGCAGAAGAAGAATGCGCGGGAGCAACGCCGAGCTGCATTCTTTCAGCAGCTAATGAAGAAGCGCGAGGAAGCAGAGGTTATTTGGCGATAAAATGCGATGCTTGTATTGTCGTTTTACTAATATCCTTGGGTTGATTTGGTAACCAGGAAAATCTCACCTTTAGCCTTCGACGAAAGGTGCAAAATGATCTGGACGACTTTTACGTGCGTAGTGAAGATGTGCACATTACCTTTTTTGAGTTGGTGGTGCTGTCCATTGACGAAAATTTGCTTCCTTATACAGAGCAATGGCGATTCGAAGATCACGACCTCTGATGGCAAGTTATCTTCGCGCAAGTCTGTTGGCTACGGTCTACGCTCGCTCACAACTGCGCTGGGAGCATCCTTCGACAAGAAGAAGTACTCAACCTCCAATTTGGCAGGATCGTCTATGAATGAGAGGGAGCTCTACCACGCCAATGTAATGGAAATGGAAAGCGCGCGAGATGTCATAAAGCAGCAGAGGTTGCAACGAGAGAAGCGCAAGGAGAATTTATCTCGCAGACGGAAGAGATTTGTTCAAGAGTGCGTCTATACCCACTCTCGCATAGGAACTGCGCGGGTGGCAAGTATTCTTGAGGATGTGGTGCTGCGCGACACGAACAGCGAAAAGGATGTTAATGGTGAAATGAACCGCATTCTCGTCTACAAGGAGGTGACTCGCGAAAACAGGTCCATGCGAAATCAAGAGTATCTGAACCAGCAGGAAATGGACACCATGTCAGCGATTGACCGAGATACGAGTTGCTATCACAATCTGCTTCTTAGATTCGAAGACGACAACGAAATGCAGATGATGCAGCGCAACGACGTGCACGTATCCATTGAAGCAGCAGATCGGTTTCTCAGTGAGCAGATTTCAGCTGAAATCATGAACGATATGGTGAAGTTTGTGCTATTTATCGCTGGAAAACGCGAAGAAACACTTCATTCCAGAGACCCTGCCGTATTTTTGACTGAGGAAACTTGGAACGAGTACAAAGTGAAGTTTGCAAGTGGCCATATATTCGAAAACGAGTCGCCAACACAAACCCAAGAAAGTTCTAGTCACGTTGAGCTGCTGGATAGTCACGAGCTGGAAAATTATTTATCAAGCTTTCGGACTTTCCGTACAACATTCGACCAACAGGCCCCCTTGCAAACGATGGACGATGGATCGCTATTTCTTGGAGCAACGGGTCCCATTGAGGACTGTTTCGTTCTTGGAGAAGAGATTAAATCTCTACGATGGATCGCTCAAGATGTTGCTAAAGATCCGACCTGGTCTGAATCCCCAACTTTCGCAACAAAAGCCCACCACCAGCTCCGAATTCTCATCTTCGGCCCTCCATTTTCTGGTAAGGGTACGCAAGCGAAGCTCCTAGGTGAAACACATAATCTGGTTGTACTCTCAGTCCACGATCTAATTCAAAAGAGCGTTGAAAGCTCAAGTGATACTAGCCAAGAAGTGAGGGAGCTCCTATCAAGCGGGAAAGAGATTCCCCCAGAGCTATACAGCAGTCTAGTAGTTGAAACCATTGGTGAGCTGGAGGCGCATGCCCTTGCTTCAGAAGGAGGTGGCGGCAAGTCTGGATGGTTGATTTACGATCTGCCTGCAACAAAACAGCATAGCCAGCAATTGGAAGAGCGACTGTCTGGATACGTAGACCCAGCACTTGTTCCCTCTCCGTCTGACTTTGGGTCTGCCATTGCCCCAGGCCTCCGCAAACCGAAATTGTCACCGACATTTCTACACGGTAAATCCGGTGTAGACCTGGTTTTTCATATCAATTGTGCTGTTGGTACAGTCCTCGACCGATGCTTAGGCAATGTTAAAGATTGCGCTACCGGTGACAAACATCACTTAGTGTTCGATCCGCCACCAGATAATTCGATTGTCCGGCATCGCTTACAGCATGAAAACCCAAGCGCGTTCTCGAGTGAGCTCCTTTCGTTGCATTGTCTGGCCAATGAAGAGTTCTCAAACGACCACAAGTCTTGGTACACCAAGTTCAACACATTGCACGAGCCGGCTAGCCCCGGGATGACTGTAAACGAAATCCACGAAGCGATTGCGGCTATCGTAAACCAGTTTCTGAAAGACCGACAAGGCGAGGCCGAGTCAAAGCTACTACAGCGAGAGGCGAAGGAGCAAGAACTAATGGAAAGCGAAGAGGAGAGACAAAGACGCATCTACGCGTTCGAATCGAATATCGACGAGGCTAAAGTGGAGGTTGCCAAAATGGAGGCAGCCGTCGCTGAAGCGGAGGAAGCAAAAGCGAAGAAAGAAGAAATTCTGGAGCTTCGTCAGAAACTAGAAGAGGCTCAGCGTCAGCTAGATGGTGTTGTGGCTGGTGTGAGAAACTGGGTGGACGAAGAGCAGGCGCGTCGGCCTGTGCCAAGCAGCCAATATTCTGGAGAGCTCGTCCCAGCGACAGCTCATGCATTGGCAGCGTTGTGGAATGATGCGGAGGCAGAGTACATTTCTACCATGAAGACCAGTTTTGTACTGCTGCGAGAACAACGGCATCGCGTCACCGAGCGCGCACAGCTAATGACGAGCGAGTTCTGTGAATTTGTCCGTCGTCCTGATCAGAAGCAGGAAACGGTGAACCTCTTTCAAAAGCAGTTTAACGAGGTGGTCGACGAAATGCGGTTCGATGACCTCACGAAGGCTGAGCTCCATGCTCGAGTGGATATGTTGCAGGATGAGCTAGGGGCTCTCATTGACGCAAAAACTGCAGCAAATGACGAGGAACTTAGCAGTATGGTTGGTGACGGCTGGACTGAAGATGCTTGTCAACAGGTCGCTGCCATATATCAAATGGCGCTACAGGCGGAATGCGATCGTTTTCGTATCTCCGTCCAAATCCTTGTAGATGGCTACTCCGCGGCTAGCAGCGAGCGCTCTCAGCTGGGTAGCATTGTGGAAGCTTGGCAACAACATCAGCCTCGCTTGGAGATGGCATGCCGAATTTATCGAGATCAGGCAAATGATACGCCGGTGGAAACCCCTGTTGCACCGGCAGCTGCTGCAGCAACGGCGGCAGGAAAAGCTGCACCGAAAGGTAAAGCGAAGGCACCTACACCGGCAACTGCCGCTCCGCCTAGTGCCGCCGCAATTAGTGACGACGCCCAAGCAGAAGCGCTGACCCTGATTGAGCTGCTAGCTGAGTACACCCACGTTCTTCAGCGATGTGCGTCATGGATGGAAGCAATTACTCCAATTGTAAACGCCGCAACTGCTGAAGGAGGCGACATTGAAGGCAGAGAGCACACTGGTGACTACTGCAAGATCAATTTGCTGAACGGGATCAGATATGAGCACGACTTAATGCAACGGCACGTACAGTTCCTTCAAGAGGCTACGGAAAAGTCTTGTGATGAAATTACGCGGTCGATGCGCTCCATCGAGATCACGTTGCGAGATGTTCTTGAAAACCGCAAAGACCGAGAGCAGGCGGCCGTCGCTGATTTGATCGCGTACATCCGCGCCGCTATTGAAGCTGAAGTGGCGATTCCGTCGTTCATCGATGCCAGCGCAAGTGCTTCTTCGCTCTCTTGCCATTGAAAGGTTAGCATAGTCTGATCTGTGTGTGTTGTTGTTTGTGTGTTGTAGCCTGAATTCATCGAGCGGTTCCCAGGGTTAACTGTACAGTTGCCTGAGGACACGACCGTACGCGTCGATGGAGACAGACGCCTGTTGCCTCGAATTCCTCCAGACGCGCCGGCTATTGCTGAAGAAACACACGAATTGCTTCTCAATCCTCGCCAACGAGACGGTCTCAAAGAGGCATTAGCATCGCAGACTTGCGGCGACTCGGGGCTACTTCCTTTGTGCACTTTGGTCGAGGTTATTGCAGCTTTGACCTCTCAACCGGACGCGCTTCCAGAAGTTTGGCGTCGATGTCCAGCACATGTCATCGCTGAGGTACAGCCACTACTCGCTCACATTTGCCTTCGTCGAATATGATACTAACTTGCATCCCTTGTCATTGCGTTAGCAGATCGCGGCAGGCTTCACCATGAAGCAGTCGGCGTTCGTCGACATTGAAGCTCTGCTCACTGCAATGAGCACCCGCGAGGATCTACTGCACCAGTTCCAGGAAGATGAGGCTCGAGAAGAGCTCGAACGGCAGCAACAACTCGAGCTTCAGCGTCAACAAGAAGAGCAGGAACGCGAGCTTCTCCTCCAGCAGCAGCAGGACATCCAAGACAGCGAGCCTGCACCCACCGACGTAGCAGAATAGGCATCACACCACACAAGGGAGACAACAAACAAAACGAAGAGGCCGTTGCACGTAAGCAACAGCCGTGTATTACCCTCCAGTCACTCAATCGCGCCCGTCTTGCCTGGCCTCGTCCGCTCTGCTGTCCACCTACTCTCCCTCTCACTCTCACTCTCACTCTCCTCACTCGATCTATATCGCCTCTGGCCTACAGGATGACGGGGTTCTCGCCCACTTCCGCGACGAAGTCGTGCTCCTCGCCCATGAAGATCTTGAGCTTCTTGTCCTGCAGCGCGCGCATGCGGTTGCGGGGCAGCATGCCGAACACAGCCTTGCGCAGCACCTCCTCGGGCTTGCGCTCGAACAGCTCCTTGGCCGTGCGCTGCTTGAGGCCGCCCGGGTGACCCGTGTGCCAGCGATATAACTTATTGTTCCACTTGTTGCCCGTGAGCACGATGTCCTTGGCGTTGATGACCACCACGTAGTCGCCGCAGTCGACGTTCGGGGCGTACGTGGGTTTGTGCTTGCCGCGCAGAATGGGCGCGAGCTGCGACGCCAGTCGCCCGAGCACCTGGCCCTTGGCGTCCACCACGTGCCACGCCACCTTGGAGGCCTGCGCGATCTTGCTCATGCTTGTCTAGCGCTGGTGTCCTCTTCCGACGTCGAGCTCTGCTTGCTCCTGGCCCCAGATCAACGATTGAGGCCACCCGTCGCCGCGTTCTATTGGAGGCGTAATTTAAGCATTAGGGTTGTGTAAACATACGTTCTTTTATATCAATCATACGTTTTGTATAACATGAAAAAGGGTTGCTTTATTACAAGTGAAAGGCATTGTGATCCATGTATTTTGTCCTTTTTCCATGCTAAATCACCGAGATTAGGAGATTTATACTGTACTCATAGTAAAATCGCTCATTTAAGAGAAATATGGGTCGCTACACGACCGTGCAGACCTTCAGCGACCAGGACGCCAAGGGCGCCGCCGTGGCCTACAACGCGGCGTCGGAGCCCGCCGCAGCCCCCGCCGATGGCGCCAATGAGTCGAAGGATTCGTCCAAGCTCCACATCAACCGCGTGGACAACGTGTCCGGCAGCTCCGCAGGCGCCGGCAGCGGCGACTTCCACACGTACCGCGCCGCCAGACGACGGTACTGTGCTTGACTTGACCAGCGCCCACATAGCGTCAATGTGTCGTGCATTGCGTACTGTGTTCTCATGAGTCTGATCTTCTGGCAGAGAGATGGAGCGCGTGGAGGCCATGGAGCAGCGCTACAAGGAGAACAAGGCGCAGCAGGAGTTCGAGGCCAAGCGCAAACGCAGCGCCGAGGAGTTCGACGCCAAGATGCAGAAGCGCGCGGAAAAGCGGCGACGACGCAAGGAGCGAGCGAAGGCGAAGGCTCTGGACGGAGTCCAAGAGGAGCATGAGGAGGAGCAGAAGGAGGAGAAGAAGGAGGAGGAGGAAGATACTACCGGTAGTGCAGACAAGGAGAAGCAGGTGCCCGAGACGCCCGGCGGCGTGCCGGAGATCCCCAATGACGGCAGCTTTTTGGAGAAGATGCTGACCTTGCAGAAGCAGAAGGCGGAGAGTGAGGAGAAGTGATTAACACGGGGCCGTCCACAGGTTTGGTAGAAGTATCCATTCATTCAGTTGATGCGCATGCAGGTTCTCGTTCTCTCTTTCCTTGTTGCTAACAGGTGTTGGCACGTACATACACAAGAATCATCGGCAGCTAACTTCCTGCAACTAGTTGTCGTCCTGGAAGATGAGCGCGACGCCACGCAACACCCACTTGGCGCTGCCGCAGTCGGTGGGGAGAGTCGCCAAGAAAATGTACGTGTGGCCTCGGAAGCGAGTGAGGTACACCGGGCACTCGTAGATGTTCGGATCGTGACGCAGGTAGCCTACGGAAGACGGCTCCCAGGTCGGGGACGTGGTCACAGCCTTGACGTAGACGACGGGCATGCCCCAGAGGAGCTCCTTGGGATTACTATCCAGCAGTGTGCCGCCACACTCCGTCGGAGGCGAAGAACCGACTGGATAGCGCTCGTTGATCTCGTCTAGAGTACTCCAGCGGGCACCCTCGAGGATAAGCCCGTGCACAAACACACCGTCGTCTGGGTAATACGAGACGGTCGAAGGGTCTTGAATCGTGGTCACGTGAGTCTCCACCGTCATCTGGTTAAGCGGCATAAACCGCTTACGAGACGTGACTTGCAGACACGCTGTCGTGTAGGCTGTGGGGTTAAAGAGGCCAGGCAACCAGATCGAAAACGGCGTGACGAAGCAGCTACCGCCTCCCCCAGTGGTGTCACCTGCCCACGCAGTAAGCTGTTCGTGGCGCTTCACCATGTCGGCAAACCAGCCGCTTAGAGACTTCGTTGACGGCCAAGCCTTCTTCTCCCACTTACACTGCGAGAACGGGTTGCGTCCGGGCACTTCGTTCAGTGACATGGCTGTGGCCAGGTCCTCCATGGCTTGGGACATATTGAGCTGTCCGTTGAGACCCTTCTTCAGATCGCCCAGCGATAAGCGGATCTCCTGCAACAGCACATTCATGCGGCTGCACTCCTGCAGTGCCACCACTACGAATGGACCATGCTCCTCTGTCAGGTGGGGCGTTGCAGCTTCCACGACATCGAGCATGTTGAAGAACTCGGGGCATCGCGCCTCCAAGTCGTCGATGGATGCACGCAGCGCGGCCGTCTTATCACCGCCACCCCCTTCCTCTCCGCCGCCGCCTCCGGCTCCACCACCAATCGTCACAATCGTGTAGCACAGAGTCTCGCACGTTGTGGTAAGGTAACCGATTTCAGCGTTCGGGTGAAGACCGAAAAGCGGTGGCGCCTCGGGAACCATGTTCTTCTCGATGTAGTTGGCGTAGTCTGCAAACGAGAATTCCTGCGGATTCGGCGACTTGAAGCCAGGCCCAAGTTCCATGCCGCTAAGTAGACCAGGGTCGATGAGGACTGCCAGGTAAGTGTTGTTGGTACGACGATCCCAAGCATCCGTGATGTGACCACCGTACATGATCTCACCAAAGAGATAGCGGAGATCATCCCACGGAACGGATGCGTTGTTATCCAGGTACGAGTGCAAGATGTTGGCACAAATGGTAAGGTCGCCAGTGTTGAAACTGTAGGCACGACTCCAGCCTTGCTGACCAAAGCGTCGACGTCCAAGCACGATTGCGTGGAACCAACACAGGGAGAACAGGCAGGCCTTGAACTCGGCCGGCTTAGTGCAAGCCTGAACCTTGTCCTCGCCAAAGTTGGCCCAAGCACGACGCAGATTCGACTGGATGTCCGAAGGAGCCTCGTTGGCCACCTTGATACAGCTCTGAAGCAGAGACTCAGGAATGTTCAGCATGTCTGGTAGCGGAGGCGGCTCAGCGGAGATAAAGCAGCGGAAGAGATCATGAGCACCTTCGGTTGCTACCTCTTCTAACTGACGCTCGAGCGTCGGCAACCACGACTGCATCAAATGCACATTCTGCAGGATGATCCAGCCGCCTTCGGTGCTCAATCGCTTCAACGCGTCACCTGCGTACGCCTCTTGACCTTGGCCCATCGAAATATTGATGAAATTGTTGTTCTCAAGACTCACTCCGTTTGCCTTTCCAAGAGTTTCTACCCATGGCGTTGGGTCAACTCCAGGGAACAGCACGAAGAATATCGGGATGCTCGAGTTCGTCTCGGCGTATGTGGCCTCCATATTGAACGGAGGTTGAGTGACGTATTCCTCACCCAGCGAGTCAAGAATGAACGTGCGCAGAGCATTGGTCACACGATCGGGGCGCATCGCACGCAGCAGAATTAGTCGCTGGAATGGGGTCAGCTTGATGAAATCACCGGGTATCTTCTGTCGTTCAGCATCCTCGGTAGCGAACCACTTTCTCCATTCATCAGGGTCATTTTGGATCGCATCACCCAGTCCTTGGAAAGCTTTAGCACTTTCAAGCGCCTTCAACTTCGACCAAATTGCTGCGGGGAGCCACTCGGAGGCTGAGCCAGCGTTGCCTGCATCCGGGTGGGCCTTGCTGATGAAGAAGTACTCAACTTCCGAGTCGTTCAACAATCCATCCTTGAGCAAAATCTTCAAGCACAGCATCGTTGCCACTGTAAGCTTGTTGCGCTCGAACAGTCCACGACGAACATAGTTATAAACACACGAGGTGATGCTGTCCATTAGCACCTGGCATCGATCCTTCATCTCTTCATCAGTCAGATCCGGGACAGCAGGCTCACTCTCCACGGCGTCTTCATCACCTCCTTCGCCACCTTCACCCCCTTCTGTTGGTGCTGGAGCTCCACCTTCAGCAGGCGCTGCTTCACCTTCTCCACCGTCTGCTTCATTGGCGATGAGGTTCTTCGCTGGCGGTGCCCGGTAGATACCAGACAAAAAGACTTGCTGGAAGGATGCGAGCGAGTAGATGTAGTAGGAGTGTACCTTGCTGATGTCGTTCATCAAGAAGAAGAGCAGGGAACCTCTCGCAGCAATGCTGCGATACTTTTCACTCGTAATGTTCACAGACTCTTGCGTCTTCTTGGCAGCCTCCATGTTGTTCTGTGTACGCTGCGCCTTGTGCTTGGTATCGCTCAGAATTTGAATCAGAGGCTGGTTGTTCGTGATATCGTCGTCTGCGCTAGCCAAGTAGAACAGAATATCATCTTCCAGTTTCTTCAGTTCGATCTTTCCGTTGTTTTGTTCTTGGATCAATTTCTCGCGCTTAATAGCCAGATCTTGGCGCTCTTTCGACACGACCAGGTTCAACAACTGGTCTTCCAGACCAAGCATCGTCACCGTAAAGTTCACGATGGTACATTCTGCTTGAATCTCGGGCGGGTAGTGAGGGTTGCCTAGCTTCGTGTGCAGATACAAGTGGAAGTTGTCGTTGTACGGGACGGACGCGTCACCAATCTGAATTTCATATCGTGCGCCACGACGCGAAGTCGAGCGTTGAATAACTGGAGCCAGGATGGGATCAATCTTCTCGCCCAAGTTTTCAATGAGGAAGGCTCCATCGGTACCGATCGCCGTTTTCAGTCGTTCAATCCACATCTTCTGCCCTACTCGTACGATGATCAGGTTGTTGTGCGCCTCCATCTCACGGATCCATGCAATAGCTTGCAGCTGTGGGTCGACAATAAGCGGCCTTCGTCCCATTGACACCGTAGTCACCACAATGGCACCATTCTCTGTTGACACACGATCAGACGGGAGTTTCTGAGTGTTCCACTCGGCAATTTGGGCATCATTTGTCAGAATGAGAAGCGGGTTGGCTTCTTCAGACATAGCGATGCTCTCCCCACCGGCTGCAGTGCGCAGGTATGGCACCCAGTGCTTGTTAATGAGTTCATCACGGAACGGCTTCGTGAAGGGGCCGATATACGAAATGAAAGCAGAGGCGAGCAACACGTCGCCCACCAGTAGATCCTTCTCCTTCTGAAGCTGCAGGACGTTGATACCCCAACGCACATTTTCGCTGGACAGGTCATTAGTGAGTGTACCTGCAAGCTTCATCTTGCGGTTGCCAGTTTCGACTGCGTTGATGGCGTCTTCCTTCTCCTTTTCCGCTGCTGCGGCTTCAGCCAGAAGCTTGTCGAGCTTAGCCTGTAGATCGGCCACAAGAGCCGTCACTTCGCTGAGGCGTGAGTTTGCAGCTTCGAGCTCCAAGTTTGCTGCAGCCAAAGCCTGTCGCTTGGGTTCGACTGTAACAACGATGTCGTAGTACATGACGATGTTGATGACCCAAGAGCACAAACCTGCAGCGGCCTTGTTCTTCGTAAGGATGGTGTCGTAGTTGAAGTGCTCCATCTCCAAGTACACACGGACCTCTTTCCAGTTCATAGGAGGCACCTTTCCGTCGTCCACCACTTGCTTGAAGCCCACCAAGTAGTCGATGTACTCTGGAATGTTACCCAGAAGCTGCTTCTTGACAGTGTCCCATTTCACATCCTTCACCTTACCAGTCTTGGTGACCTGCACGTTTGGATGCACGCCTGCCAGTAATACCATCGTGGCTGAGAAGACATCGTCCACACCAGCAGGAGGCTTGGACATGGTCTTACACTCGCCCAGATCCTTCTTGTTCAACGAATCAAGCGCTGCCATAGCCTGCTCGACAGCAGGCTCGGCCTTTGCCAGATCCTCTTGTGTAGAGCGCTGCTTCTCAGTGACCTCTGCCTGAATGATAGCGCACTTGGCAGCCTCGTCACCTGCCTTCTTGCTTTCAGTTTCAACGTTCGCCTTCTCCTTGTTGACCGCCTCGGCAATACCGGACGCGACAGCCTTCTTGTCCTCAGCAGCTTCGAGGATGACCTTCAGTTCGACCTCAAGCCGTGACACAGTATCACCAGTCTCCTTGAGTTTCTGCAGGCCTTTCTCTAAGCGATCAATAGCTGCTGCATACTCCTCCACTTTCTTGCGCAGAATCTTCTTGTACAGCTGAAGCAACTCCAGATAGGACTTCGGCGTCGTGTACACGTGACGTCGCTCAACCTGGAAGAACCGCTCGGCACAAATGTTCACCGACTGGAACGAGAACGGCATAAACTTTTCGATACCAGCGCGAGATTCCTCCGACCCCAACAAGTCTCCGATCTCCTTCAGCTTTTCCCGACCGACAGAGAGCAGAGCTTCCTTAGGCCAAGGCTGGAACCAGTCAATAACTGTGCAGTTTACAAGTGCAGGGAACTTGCGAGCGCGGTTACGGAAATCGTCACCCACAGGCGAAAAGCAGAGACACAAGTGCAGGCGTTTCCGAATCTCCGCTTGGAAGAACTTGATCACCTCCTTCCGATCTTTGGTACCAGCAACAGGCGACAGCAAGTTGACGATGTTGTCCATATCTTCCATTGCGAATAGATCTGGAATCTCTCCTGACGCTAACAGATCGTTCAGATAGATCAGGAACTTCTCGTTGGTGATTTGGGAGTCCGTGAGCATGAACACAACTCCTCCATCCTCTTCGTTGCGAGACAGCATCTCCACCACAGCCATGTGCATTTTGCGCAAGTCTTCCTTGAATTCATTCTCGCCGTACTTGGAACTGATCGTGATTTGGCGAACAGTGTAGCCGCAAATGTGAGAGGCCAGGCGTGCCAACGAACGCTTGCCACTACCTCCCACACCAACTAACAGTGCGTGGCCACTCTCGTTACGCAGAATACGAACGATGCGAGCCACGTGCTTGACTGCATCGTCGAAGAGATCCAGCTGCATAGCGGTATTGTTCTCGTTGTTGTTGTAGTCACGCAGCTGAACCTGCAAGTTCATCTTGAGATCGTCCAGGTTGGTCCCCATGATCTGGTCGTATTCACTATCGCCATCTTTTGTGAAGTGGCAGAAGATGAGCGGCCACGAGTTCTCTGCAGCGTAATAGCGACTCGTATTGCAGGATGCAAACGACTTCTTCACTTGCATCTGCACCAACTGGTTGTACTTCTCAATGTCCGCCTTGCACACAAGTCGATCTCCATACACTCGTTCGCTCTCGTGTAGCCACAGCAGCACGAACTTCTCTGTGCTGTTAAATCGATCCTTCTTGGACGCGATCAAACCTTGGAAGACGTTGGACAGGTGACGCACGTTGAACTCGTAGTGGAAGTTGGCTGCCGTCTTACGGAACGTGCTCACTACACTGGCGTGGAGACTCAGCGCTGCCTTGATCAGCGCGTTGGAGAACTGCGAGTTGCATAGCTCATCGGCAAATCCTGACAAATGTCCACCAAGGAAAGTCTCGTAGATTGTGACCAAACTTGGTGCTTCGGGCATGCCCATAGCGAATGTACAGAAGTGGCGCTGAAGGCGTGGGTCGACGAGGAACGAGCCTGCCGTGGGATTCATACCAGATACCACTTGAGTATTCAGGATATTCTGAGGCTGGAGCTTCACGCGGTCGAACCAATGTCGGTACTCCATCACCTGTCGTAGCAGCGAGATAGCGCTCTGTGTGTTGTAAGGGTCCACTTCTGGCAGATTCAGATCGTCCATGAAGTAGATGAGTCGGGCTTTGCCTGGTGGACCAAGGTTGATACCCGTCTTGCGCTCCAGTTGGCCAAACATGGTCTGCTGCAAGATCGCACTCGTGGTGTAGAAGTTGAAGTTGATGGTGCAGTAGCGGAATGCAGCCGTCGCCTCGTCCTTGCTGAGCTTTTTCAGCATGCCCATGATATTCTGCGTCTTACCGGTACCTGCAGGTCCGCATACCATCACTGGAACACTCTTGGAGATGAGGTTCTCCAGCCAGAATGCAATCGATGCCGTCTCAGTCGTAGGCACAGTGATCTGGTTGATCGGGCTCGGAGAGACATACGTCTCGGTGTAGAAGTACGGGCTCTTAGACCAAGAATTGAACTTGGACGTCTCTGGATCTAGCCAGAAATCAAACACAGTGTTGCTCGCCGACGCCACCAGCTTCACATCCTTCCACTGGTTCTTCCACCAGTTGCTAAACTCTGCCGAGTAGTCTGTGCCATCGTCACTCATTGTGAGGATGGAGCCGAAGGACCATACGCAGCAGAAAACGAATGTATTCTGCATCACCGTGTAGTCTTCCAGCACTTGAGGGGTCAGCAAGCAGTCGATCATGTTGAGCAAGTTCGTCACAAGTGTCGTCTCCTCCACTGG